GGAAATCAGAATACTGTAAATACTCTTAGCTGTAACTAAAGTTACATAAAACATGACATGTAACTGCAGTATACATTTCAAAGGGGAGTCACAAAAAGTGCTTTTTCAATTACAAAAACATTTATATGACACAGAAATCAAGATTACAACAATCTATCAGACTTACAATTCGTTTTCCACATAAAATTTCCAGCAGCAGAAGTAGTTTGGTTCCATCTTTTAGGTCTTCAAACAAATCCTTAACTTGTTGGCCGCTGCCAGCCTACCAACACAGAAAATGAATAGTTTTGAAAAATTCGAATTACACCACCAAAAAGTGTATAATAGTAAATGCTACAATCCCACCACAATTGTTGAAATAAACTAGCCCTTAACTTCTGTGCAAAGTGACCAAAATGATCATCTACAATTTGCATGTGCTAAATATCTGCATTATCCTGGTTGTTCCAACTCGCACCTCCTCCCCTCCTCCCCTCCTCCCCTCCTCCCCTCCTACCTCCCCCCTCCCCTCACTCACCCAGCTCATCACCAGAGCTGTCATCAACTGTTGGCTTGTCTATCATCTTTAGCAAACTACTTTCCCCTCATTTTACAGTAATTTCTATTGTAAAATTGTTCAGTTGATGAAACACCATAAAAAAAATTGTACAACAGCTTTCATCAGTTTGAAAAGGAATTAAATGCATAATTTGCATGCAACAAGCTTAGATGCACAACTCCATCCCATGTGCAGAATTTTCTGGAAGATTCATGCAAATAATTCCCATGTAATTTGACATAACAACATGGCATTTGCAATAACCTTACTGCCTAATATTTCTCATTTGCCTTCTACTTTAAATCTTGTTGAAAGCCCTTACCACATGTAAAAAAAGGCTTTTTTTCTCTACTTACAATCAAAGTGAAAAAGAACTATCACAAGTATATATTATACAACTACATAAGCTATAGACATTAAAGAAATCATCCCCGGAGACAAAAAAAACAGAGATGGTAACAAAATGGAAAAAACATCACAGAAATCAAGTGATATGAGAAAACATGTATTGTACCTTGGCTAGTTGTGCATTTATCCACTTTGTGAAGGTTTTCTTCTGTGTTCCTTCATGTTCATCTAAAAATAGAGCAGAAAAGGAAATTAATCAGAGAGCATATACACAAACATTAAAAGAATTTGAACTTCCTTTTCACCAATGACAGATCTATATTTAGAACACGAATGAAGATAAGTGAAAGGTACATATATAGAGTACGCAATATCACATGTACATGCAACTATCCAATATTTCAGCATGACAGAGAGAAAACATTCTACTCCTTTGAAGAAACATAAAGGAAATATCAACAAAAACAGGGAGAATCCAATGACCTATGATCTTATAAATTATACTTTCTACAATGAAAGTACATGATAATTCTAATTTCTTTAATAAATTTTATTCAAACAGTTGATCGATCAACAACAATCATCAAGCTTCTTGTGCCAGAGGGGTAAAAAAAAAATTGGAGAATTAAGATAGAGAAATGGTGAAAACAAAAATAACAGGAATGAGGGAAAAATGGCTAAAATATCTTGGAGGGAGAATGAATCCCTTTGAAATCTAGAAATGAGAAAGATAGAATATTCAGAATGATACATTTCTTCCCAATCACTGGAAGGGTTTCAAAGTTGAAAAAGCTGCACAAAAGCATTTAGGTGGTATGAATGTACACTTTGACTTAAAAGTGCTCAGCAAAGGCAGAGAAACACATTGCATATTCCATCATGCATAATAGATTAATTTCCCTTTATTTGCCCACAGTTTAGCTACTAGGTTTAGCTCTAAAATTACAACTCATTGTGGTACTCTGTAGGGAATCATAACTGGATCAAATTACATTTAATTTTTAAAAAAATCTTTAGCTCTGATACATGTAGATCAATTAATTTGAACCCCAAAATTAACTGTTATGAATTACCTCACCACTGCTTTAATATGTAATGAGCTGAGGTAATGAATTATCTTCTATGCCAAATGAACATTACTTTTGTAACAAACCCAGGGCTAAAATTTCGATATTACTTGATGAGTTTACTGATATTCTAACCTTACTCTTAATGTTTTAAATCTCAGCCCCCTGCTAATTGAATTGGTGTGTTCAAAATTCTAAATGTAAAATGTATTGTGGTTTCCCACGGAAGGATATTGACAATGCAAATATTTCATGTCTGGATCAAAATCACTTAAATTGATCAGCTGATATGTTAGTGTCCTCAATTTATGAGCGTATTTGCTTCAACAGGGTTGCGTGAAATTCGCTTGTTCCATTCCTCGTGAAATCCACAACGATGTAGATTTCAACGGAGTAATTGAACACGTGAAGAGTGAAGAGACAGTAAGCTCCTAAAAAGCCACAGGCATTTCTCAAATGCGAGGTATTCGACTCATAACAAGATAAATCTCGCATGGTGAAAATTCGCAAAAAACTTTGCATTTGACCTTTTATTCGATCTTGTTAGTGAAATCATTGGTGTTCTAATTTCCCAATTATCGGCATATGGTTTCTCTAAAAAACTTAAATAAAAAAGTACCCCAGCTTTTTAAGGTCAATTATGGAAATCATGTACTGTGTTGTCATAACGGCTAGCCGCTTATGCTATGTCCATAAAGTGAAGGAATGAGCACATTGCGCTCTACAACAATCTTCAAAACAATTTTTGAATGCCGAACCGTCTACAACCTCCAGATTTAAATGACTTGGTATTCAAAGCTTGAGTTCAAAGATCCTAATAGTAAACAAAGTAGCACTTTTTATTCATTTAGGTGTCAGGATGAAGAGCCCGAACAAGAAGGTACGTAAAGAGTATAAAAACACGTCAAGTAAGCCGTGAACGACTAACAAAACAACATGGCGAAAGCGACCTAAGAACTCAACGGGCACGAGTTGCTTCGCTTCAACGCTGAAATTATTTACCCCGAGAGCGAAAAAAAAACCCACGGGAAAAAATTAAGTTTATTGTTTAAGTCTAAGAAACTTTCTATCCTGATGACAATTGCGGGATTAGGTTATTGTCCGCAAGAAAACCACCCTTCCGTTCGAGAGCGTGGACTCACAAACATGCTTGAAACCTTCGGAAGACAACACCTAAGAAAATTCTCGTTTAAATGCGAAGCTTCCCTTTAATTTATTGTATAAAACAAAAGGCCTCTCTCTGACGGTTGGAGAACATTTCAATACAGCCAAAATAGGTGTCACCGAAATAAAATGACGCTTTAGAACTCAGTCATGCGATAACAGAGATCACGATCGAACAGCTGAATTCACACTTGGATGTTTATAAGATGTCCATTTTCGTCATGGGAAGTACTCCATAACGAAACACAAATCTTACCTGAACGGGACTTAATTCGCAGCGTGAATGTTCCACTACCGTCTTCTTCAAAACTCATGATTCAATACCTCCCAGCTGAAGATTCAGTTGAAATTATGTCAATGACTGCTTGCAAAAAGATTTTGTTCGCCCACAGCAAATCAATCGTTCATCAACATTTGGGACAAAGCATTCCAAAACTGCTGAAGGATACAAAAAGGCACGGGTATCGTTAAGTCTTCGATCTGTTGCTCAGTCAACATTAAATACATCGACTCAATAAAAACCAGATGATTTCATGTAGCACGCTCAGGGAGCGAAAAGAGCAGTCGATGTCTGTGAGTGAGAGAGCGCCCGTACCTGACATGTGTTGCACAACCAGCGAACAATCCTTCGACTCAAGACCCACGAACTTCCTTTGAAGTACCGAGCGAAGGAATAATTGAACCACGACTGCTACAGCGTACTACGATATTCCAAGCACTAGGTGGAGTGCCCCAGAGACACAACACATCAGCGATGAAATATTTCTGAAATATTCGCTCATGCGGAGCAAGGACTCAAATGATCTCGGACGCGGCAAAAAGTAAGACAATGGGTAATTGATTTGAGCCAATAGGATCGTTAGGTTCGATATGTGAACTATGTGGCGAATTTAAAGTCACTTTGGTATAGTGGACATCTTCAAGACACACGAAACTAAACTCTTGGTAAAACATACTTGAGGAGAGAAGATAAAACAACTGATAAGATTTTCTAATTTGATATCTTACAGCTTTACAGAACAAGGGAAGGCTAAAATCAAATTTATCGAATTTCATTGAAAAATCATACGCTTTGTTAAGTGTAAAATCATCTGTACACCTAGAGAAATATCAACTGCAAAGTAATATCTATTAAAACAAGTTAAAGACAGGATATTACTTCAAAACCTTTGTTTAAAGATAATATTGTGCCCCCAAGGCTGTTAATCTCGTAAAAGCGTCGTCGAGAGATCGAAGAATGCTTCTTTCTGTGCTTCGCAAAACACAGAGACAGCTAAGCGTGGGTTTAAACAAATGAGTCCAACCCTTCCCGATTTTTGATGGATTTGTTTTCTTTGCTCAGTTTTCGCTCAACTGTATCCCCCCTTAAGAGATAATTTAACTTACAGGAGATCACGCAAAACAATGCAGTTCGATTAATTATATTCGCTCAGAAATCAACAAAACTGATCGTTCACACATTGGATGGATATCGAACGTTTTAATACCTCACGAATAAGTACAGTTCAGGAAAGGAACTAAAAAAAGTATTTCTTTCCGAATCAAATAATTTCCTTTGTGTTTTGTACGTTTTGAGCAATCTATCTGTCAGTTGCCAATCTGTTTAGCAGACCCTTGCATGTAAGAGCCCTCTGCTGATTCGATGTCATGACACTCATATCATTCTCGTAATTGAAATACAACTGAAAACCAACTCCTTATTTTTTCGTCTCAATGCTCAAGAAGCGCTGACAAAATATTGCACTTTCGCTATTAATATCTGTTCGATTTTTGGGAACGATTTTTAAATCCTGTTGTGACTTCTCAAAATTTTGAAAGTTGCGTGGCCGTGAATCGTTTAATTACATTAATCCATTGATGTATTGTATGTGACACAAAATCACGGGAAAAGCGGAAAACAAGTACAACTTCCTGCGCGTGGGAATGACAAAGTACAACAATTAAAACCGTCGTCGGGGTACAAGCCCCAGAAAGATTTGTTTCCACTCATGGTATGTACCTGTTTTGGGTTATTCTAAAGTAGTTTGTCAAGACAGTTTCGAGCGAAATTAAACTCTATTAGTGAAAAGCTGGAATAAAAATATGATTGTCATGATACGCAATGGTTTATTCGCAAAGTCCAACGGTCCTTTAATGAGCCACTCATGATCAGTTGGTTTTTAAGTCCGATCACTATACTCAGAAGCTTACCAATTTAACATTGACTGACTGACTGACTGACTGACTGACTCACTGATTTACTGACTGATCGTCTGAGTGACTGATTGACTAACTGACTGACTGACTGGTTGACTGACTGGTTGACTGACTTAATGACTGACTAATTGACTCACTGGTTGACTGACTGAATGATTGAATGATAGACTGACTGACCGACTGACTGACCGACTGATTGACTGACGAGCTGGACTGATTGTGTGGCTCACTGACTGACTGAATGACAGATTGACTGACTGACTCACTGACTCACTCACTGACCCACTGATTGATTCTCTGATTGACTGACGCAACTAACATTGAAAAAAAGTGTATGTACTTGATGAAAATCAGTTTCATTACAATTAAGTCCCTCTTCCACTTAAAGAATAAGATTTCCTGTTGTTTTCCGATGAATTGTTTATCTAAGAGTTTATATTGGCCTGTGGGTAGCCCGCTAGCGAGCATAGCTTTCCTATAAGTGACAGGAAGCAGTATGCATATGCACGAAGTAAATGGCTCTCTTGACTTTTTAGCATACCTTGTCTCTGTTGAATAAAATGATTCGCAGAAACCAAGTGAACCGATCTCTTAGAAAAACTTATATGGCAGTTACCAACCACTACTGAATAAAATTCGGTCTTAAGACTGTAAAGCGTCATGTGACTCATCAAAGAAGAATACGTGACTTGATTTTTTTTGTTTCATTCAGCTGCTGAGCAGCCCTTTCATTGTAAGTGGAAACTGTTTGACGAGTTTGGGAGGTGTATAGCGATGAGAAGAAACTGACCGATGTCATCAATTTTGGTACGCTTTGGCTTCAAACAAACGAGTTGGATGATACTTAGGGTTTTTTTACGCTAATTACAGGCGAACCACACAGATTTTACAATTTATGAATGCTGTTTACATGTAACATGGAGGAGAAATTGTACAGAATTATGAAATAACCAGCGAAAACTGCTAAGAAGCATCTGGTTGTATCCGACAGCCCCGGCGAGGACCTGAAACTCAGGATATTGTGTAAACATGAAGTTGAACCAACCTCACTGATTCCAAATATGGTAGTCAGTAAAAGCAGTGGCAGTGATTAACGCGATCCAATTACACAGTTTGGATTTCTATAAAGGTGCACTTTGGGTAGCGATCGCCTGCTAATTTCACTAAAATCCACAGAATGGTTGTAATCGCTGAGCCAGACGAACTGAAGGCAGAAGGTGAAAAAAATAGTCATAATAGAAAAACAGCCTTACTTTTTTGCCATTCTGATAAAGCTAACAAGTTTACTTTCGAGTAAATAGAAACCACATGTCGTGGCGTGCGTACAAATGAAATCAACTCGAAATTTAATAGCAAGTTTCGAACTGGGTTCGAAACTTGCCATTTTGGGTTTTTAAGTTAAAAAACAACAACAAAACGTCGTGTGTATGAAAACGGATGTTCTTCTAAAACTGTTGCACTTTTCCTCGCGAATTAAAGGGTCTCAACTGTTCTTTTGTCGCGATCAGCTACGACCCCAAATGCTATTGTTCTTTCAGGGTCTGTTTTGTAATTGTTTACAACGATTTCATATATTTCCTATGAACAATTAAAATAGTGAAATACTAAAAAAATCAATAAGAGTAAAAGGAAGCAATCCCAAGGTAGCACTTCTTGTCCACTATCTCCACGTCAAATCAAAATTCAACGTGTTACTTTCGAAAGTTTGAGAGACGTGTGCTTCCTCAATAAACATAGATTGTTATAAAATGAGCTATTTTTTTCCTTAAACAGTCTATCATCCACGACTAATGATAGCAGAATTCCTTTCTGTACCTGTAGAGCTGCTTTGCAGCGGCTTCATGTTGTTCACAGAACACATCTTCAAACTTTCCGAAGACAAGGATTCATTCACCGGAGAATTGCCTGTTGATTGTACACAATTTAACGCAGATGATACCTTGAGTGAAGAATTTGAAAACCCACGAAACTCCACAGATACATCCACATGGCGAGAAAACAGACCAGCAATGAAAGTCTCCTTGAAGAAGAGTGCCTGGTTTGCATTTCAGGTAACAGTGCTAACTGGTGGCTTTATAGGTGTTGGGTGCATCTTCTTTATATACTTTCAAATGAAGATAATTTTCGTCTGCGATTGGAAGGCACTCCGTGATTCGTCCATCCCTCTAGAAAAAAAGCGACCGCGTATCATTGGTGAATCGTACCTGGCTTCAACTCTCTACCTCTGGCAGCCACTGATGTTGCTATTTGTGTTCAGATGGCCTCTAATCAAACAAGTTAACTTAGTTACGTTTACGTTGATTGGAATTTTCTTTGATCTCGCCTACAGATTTTTGGTTGCTGTCTATGGGTTGTACTACCCTCCGTGGATTCCATATCCACTGAATATTCTTTATTTAATTATGATTCTTGTCCAAAGTTTTTCTGTCGGGCGTATTTTCAGAGGTAATATATTTAGTGCAAGTTTATTCGGATTTAAGCTCTGTGCGCAGTTCATCATAGGGGCCCCAGTGTTTTGTTTGTTCGCGTCCGTCTTGTGTCCACTGTTTGCGCACCTCGAAGGTATTTTAAAAGTCGCCATGATTGCTCTTTCATATTCAGTCGGCATAATACCTAAGATACTCTCAAAGCGATGTGTCTCAGGATTGTACGTTATAAACCCAGGCTTTTCATATGTTTTGGTGTCTACTGCATCTAGCGCGGTTTGCATGGCAGTGAAATTTATGCTGGCCGAATTTAAAAGCCTTTGGGCGTTTATTGCGTTAAGTATCGGCGAACAAACCATTCACCTAGTGTACCAACTAATCGTCAAAGCTGGAGAATCTCACGAGGATAAATCACAGTATGAGAGAATTTTACTCTCTGGGTTGGAAGCAGATCCCACAGGACCATTTAGTGCCGCCAAAATGAAAGAACGTCGATCTCAGAGGCTAGCCGCTGACCTAACAATACACGAAATGATGTCTAGCGCTGCCGCAGTTGTCCTCTCAGTTGGACTTATGACAGTTTATGGTATAATTCACCGGATCCTGCGTCCTGAAGAGTACCAGGAAATGATTGTGGATCTTTTGATACGTATAGTTTTAGCGCTGCTTGTAGAGATAATGTTCAACGTAATATTTGTGATGATGCTAACTCGTACAAGAAATATTCCAGTTCTTAAAGTATGGAATGTAAAATGGAAATCGCATCTTATTGTTTGTATAGTTACTGTCTATATGATTGTAAATTATTATGCAAACAAAATTTTGCTGATTCTCAGCACACTACACGAAGCTGAGGGGAAGATTGATAATTGTTAATTAGGCAGAGATTTTAACTTTCTTTTCAGCACAACCACAGATATAAAGATGCTGTTCACTTTGTTCTCAGGTTTCAGAAAAAGGTATTAAAATACAGGCCTCACTGTCAATAGAAGTCTTAAACCATGTAGTAAAAAAAAGCGTCTCATTATCATAACTTTAGTACGAGTCTTGTTCTGATAACTACATAATCGTTCCTCTTTCAACTTGAATGGCATTTACCTGCCGCACGACAATTCTGGAAAACACTTTATTGATAAAAATTTTAACCATCACAAAAATCAACAGAACTGGTATCCAAATAACTTACGTCAACAAGAAACGAAGTTCGCACAAACCCTCAAAACAGCTCGGCAGAAGGCTGAAGGTATGTTAGCGAAGAATAGGTAGCCTGTCTATAGCCCTCCTATACCGTCCACCATACATACCCCATCCCAAATTCCCTTTAGAGAGGCCCTCCGAAAAAGAATTGTGCAACAAAAAGTTGCGAAGGCATCATCAATATATGATTATTTCTGCATATAATTTTTTAAGCATGACATTAGCAGCTAAAACGTATTTAACAGAACTAGCTGTTGCTCGAGGAAAAAGAAAGGGCGATTGTTACAAAAAATAAAATCTGAACTTCGTAAGTACATCATCATCTGGCATCGAGCGATAATCTATCTTCATTGTTACGATATATATTTAGAAAAAGAAACATTTGCAACTTTTACTTAAATTTTCATGCTTCTTCGCAGCGTAGTAAACTGCTATGATGAAAGATTTCCTGAAACAGGAAAAACGTCAACACTTAATTTTACACCCATAAGTTGAATCGTTTATGTCTGTCCCTCTTGTCAGCTCGTTTACTAGCAAACAGATCAACTTACTTATACGCCGGGATTGTCGGTTTAAAAGGATGTAAACAAAGACTTTTCATTACCACTGAAATGAAACAAGCTTACTTTGGAAACTTACGAAAAATTTATAACATTTTGCTCTGTTAGATTAAGTAATTTTTTTCGATATGGACTTGCATGAGGTCTTATTCGTTTAATTTGTACGCTTCTGTTCAATCAGCACAGCTGGCGCATAGAAGTTCAACCCCTTCTCTAACAAATCCTTCATTGGCCAGAGACCGCTGACACCGAGTGCAGTTAAAGCACTCTTTGTGGAAATTTGACTCCTCTAATGTGAAGTATTCACCGCCGATAATTGGTTTAAAGCAGACCTCACACTGCTTGGCCAGGAACCTTCCATAGCACTCGATACAGTAGCGGTGGCCACTATGCACAGAGAATGGTCGAGATGCCAACGATTCATGGCAGGTAAAACAACTGAAACACTCCTTGTGCCAGGTCTGTTCGTTGTAGAGGACACCGCCTTCGGAGAGTGGCTCTCCGCAATCCGCGCAACGCTTGGCATGTAAATTCTGATAGCATCCGGGACAGTAGAACTCATCATCTTTTGGAACAAAACCGCTAGTCCCGATAGCTTCCCGACAGACGGCGCACTTGAAGCATTCTTCATGCCAGTAGGTGCCATTGTATTCTAGGCGCGCGCTCCCAGACTCGATGGCATAATGGCATCCTGCACACGTCTTCTGGAAGTTAGTGATGTAGCAATCATTACACAGAACTTGCTCCTTGTAGAAAGTAAATTTTCCGTCTGATCGCAGAGGTTTCCGACACAGCTCGCACAGGAAACACATTTCATGCCAATGTCGATCGTCAGCTGTTGATACGTCTTTAGCATCAGGTCCAATCTTGCCATGACAGTGGTCACACACGTTGGCAAATCTGCATCAAAAGAAGAAATTTTGTCAATTGAAATTGTTTACTCGATAAAGAATGGAAGATCAGAAGTAGCAGTTGCAAGACTGCTCCAGAGTGACCCTCTAGTTATTTATGAAATAAAGATCTCAGACGCAAAATTGTAAGACAAAATCCTACAATATTGTTCCCGTCTGTCCAACAACTGCTAATAATTTGACTCCCTAGAAAAGATAAGAACATACTTGCAGACAATATATTACGTACAACACACAATCACGTAAATCATAATAAATAGAACACACCTGCAGTCAAAACAGTCAACGCATACGGGCTTTTCGTCTCTGACAATAAACTGCTTGCCGGTGATGCTGACGTCGCACTCGTTGCATCGGAAATGACCCAAGTGCCAGCTTTTGTTCATGGCTATGGTGTATTCCCCGGTGAAGATAAGCTGAGTATGCGCAGATAAAGGGAGCAATAGAACTTCAGAATTAGTTTGCTAAATTAGTCAAAGTCTGTTATGTGTCTCAAAGACATACAACACACTGAAACAAAAAATTAACTTTAACTTTTGAAGAACAGCTCTACTGACTCAATCAAAGCCCCAGAACCTTGGATCGATGGCAGTATCTGAGCAACTGCACACTGACCCGTCCCTTGACAACAGTAAGTTGATAAAAAGTTAGGGTTAATGTTTGGTTCGGGGAGGGGTTGGTGCGCAGCTGCTTAGATACTGGTGAACCTTTCAATCACAGCTAACGAGCTACAGATGGTATTGAGAGCAAAGGCATAAGTGATGACAAAACAGATGAAAAAACGTTTGACTGATAAACAACTCCACCGTTAGCCCTTATAATGACCACTCAAGATTTCGCAATATCACAAGCTATTCCCATAAAGCTGGACGACCACAGAACGACATAACAAATTGTGGCGGGTAATCTTACCTCATCACATCCATAGCAACGTTGCCTTGACAACTCAGCGTGATGTCTTGCGCAGTAGACTTTGTTTCCATACTGGAAGTAGGTGAGGTCTACCAACAGCTCCCAACAAGTCGCGCAGCAGAAGCATGCAGCGTGATAGCATGACACTTCACTGTCGTCTAACTCAGCTGAAACCACTACGTCGCCTTTAGGGATGGTCTTGAAACACGATTGGCAAGTCTAAAGAAGCACAGGAACCCAAACGTAAATTGACACACGGTAAACTTTTAATTATGTATACAAGAGATATGCTGACCGTAAATGCTTTAAAGAGCTTCCCTCTTTAGTAAACTCATCGTCCAGAGCTCCTGTGTAAGCCCCTCTCTCCCCACCCCCTACCCCCATCCCTGAGCTGCCCCAACTCTACCCCCTTCAGTTTTAATATCCTAGTCTTATAATCAAAGAAATGCACACTAGATACGACATCCTTCTATCCGGGTCACACAAAAGAAGAATGAAAATTCCTTCTCTCTCTCTGCATAGGCTTTTATCTGGAATCCCTGTGAATTAAGATATCGCCGGAGAGGCTCCAGAGGCTTATTAGCTCGTTTATTACAGATAAAAACGATTTTACTCTGTAGCCCGGGTCTTTGTGAGGTACCCAGACTTTCACCGCTTTTAAGTGGATTACATTTGAGAAACATGGGAAGAACAGGAATAATCTATATATAATAATTTCATCTTTTGCACCTCGGTGGCGTTTGATCATGAAAAAACAACACCATGGATGAGTCACTTGGCCGAGACAAAATGCCGCGTCCTACCACTCAAGAATTATTCTTTCACAAGCATCGGACAATTCATTTTTAATACAAAATTATTGGATGAGTAAGTGACCTATCGTAAAACGTGAGATAAGGTTAAGACTTGCACCACACAAGAAGACAAACTGCTATGCTGTGGTATTGATAGGAATAAATTATGAATTCGACGGCGTGGTTCTCGCAACACCCGCGCAACAAGCAGCCGCCTCGAGCCTGGTCTCTCTCAACCACTGAGAGAGATTAGGCTGAGCCATATGACATGCAGACATCTTATGTTAGTTTCACGATCTGTGCAGGTGAACAATGATAGAAAAGTAGCTTACAGCGCTCATACGTGTAAACTAAAAGCAATCATAGCAATTATACGCGGAAAGGAAAGACTACCCAAAATTGTATGAAGGGTTTAAGATTTGTAAGGAATTTTGCGCATATATTTACATAATTGAAGCACATCATTAACAACCCAACTAAACAGGGTTAACTGAAATGGCCGGTAACTTGAACTCTTATTAGTAAGAGCCGTTTTGGTACACTGAAAAGCCATCCCGACAAACTTAACATGTTCAAGTACGCCTTTTTAAGCTTTATCTTTAAGAACTCTTGAAAGATTAGTGTAAACATCTACAGCCTCGTCCTTCACATTCTCTTCATATCTAAACGGTTTTGGCAAACTACTATAGGTAGTGTTCTTATCTAGGCTCATCTAAAGCTAATCATTTCTTGTACATTAAATTCCATGGCGTTTAATTTAAAGCACACTGGACAAATTATTGGTTAAGGAGGATTAAAATATCAGCGGATTATCCAGCCAACTTATGAAACTTTTGTTGCAGCGGATAAAGAGTTAGGAGGTATGAACATTTCTTGGCATGTGTGCACTTGCAAAGCTTAAAAGTTTATATGCTAAAGAAGAAAATAAACACGCCGAGCTCATATATTATTGCTTGAAATTGAGGGGCACCGAGAGTAGATACACAGATAAACCCATTTTTCTCCAATTTAGTCTACTACTATGAGAAAGAAGGGAAAGTAAAAGCATTGCAGTAATACGTGTTCTACCAAGTAACTAAGTAAACCTCAATAACAAAATGACAGTACAATCCTATTACAGTTGTTTTAAAATCATTAACAAGTTCTAACGTTACAATTTTCTATTCATATCGAGGAGAGCACATTTATGTCGGTTTTTCAGCGAAAATCGCCAAAGAAACTATCCATCGTTTATGGTGCCTCTCTGTAATTTTTTCACTTAAGGATAATCCAAACAGTCCATTAACACAAGTTATGCCGAGTGTCAAAGAACTGCTACCAGTAATGATGTTCTGTGGCTACACTTGGCCACGTACCTTTTCAAGACGTGTGTGTGTCATTTAAAAACTTAGTCCAGCATTGTGTCTGGTATGAGGATTAGGGTCTTTTAAGGAGGTCAAATGTTGCAAATTGACATATTTAGCATCAGTGTTGAGAGATGAAAGAAATGTGTATGCAATCGACAGCCTCTCTTTGTTAATCCTCTAAGCGTGCACTTGCTTTCTAATTTCTCCCCTCAAAAGGAGCTGAAACGAAAAAAATGATAAGAAGGAGAAGCAATCCTCTCACCTCTCTTCTTCCAAGTGGAACTTTGACCTTTCCGGTTCCTTTTGCATTATCTTCGTTGTTCCAGAATTGAACAAAAGCTTCTCTTTGAGGTTCTGGAATATTTGAGAAATGCACGGGCGCTTTGTCTTGTGGAGGGTTTTGATATACGCGCTGTTTTATATAATAATCTTCTCCAGGTGACCCAAGGATGGGAATTCTATCCTCTGGTAAGGACTTCATGTAAGCCTCTACCTGTTTGTGATCCAGACAAGAGCACGAGTTTACATGAACATTTCTGGTTAAGGTATAATCTTAGTTCAACAATTTCTTCTTTGTGTGGGCACATGTAACTTAAACCTCCTGGCTTAAAGCATTAGCAGGTCTTTCCAGATTTATTCGCAAATCTATTAGCTCTATTTACTCTCATTCCCCCAAAGGTAACTTTATCTACAGGAATGAATCTTATTCGTCGGAAAGCGTGGTGCGGTTTGCCAATATTCATTCCCTGGATTGCGATTTATCCGTTAAACCACAGCGTACCAAGGTACTCGGGTTGAGAAAAAATTATTTGATACTTTTAATAACTAAATGGGGTAAAGGATTTTTCCTCAAAAAATGCAAAAAATTGACGAGGACACACAAATTTGTCAAAATACCAAATAGACTTTGATCAAAAAAAGAATATTTGTTTTTCCTCACCTGACCAGTCGTCAATCCAGGAGGAGACCAAAGGTAATCTGAGGCCGTTGAGGGAGGGGGAGGTGGGGGAAACAAATCGTTATCCACAAGGGAAGATTGAGTAGTAAATATCTTCATCGTTTGGTATTCGTTGTTATTTGACAACGGGGGAGGGGACGGTAAATCATCTTCGCGGTTCGTGTCCGAGTTGATTTTAAGGCCTTTTACTTTGAATTCAACTTCGTCTACATCGACATCAGCATCAGCATCCACAGACACATCATGGTTCTCACGGGGACATTTGCAGTTCGCACACACTTTGCTGTCGAGAAAGATTTGGACGATTTTAAAAAGTCAGGTTACCAGGGATGAAACAGGGCTTGTTAAGTCTGGTTCACGCCCAATACATAATGGCCCAACGACATAACGAAATGAATGAAAGATAAGGTTTGTCCTAAATTATGCCATCATGTCCATGTTGTTACACTGTTAATTCGAGAAGATGCCTCATCGTTCAAATTACCTGTACTACCTTGACGGACAAACTGTTAGTACGGTTCTTGGTACCGTTGTTATTTTCTGTGAAAGAACAGCGCGTAACGCGTAGATTATTGTAAAAACCCCAAGTAACGGTTATTACAATTGAGTGGGTTTCTCTCAAAGAACAGAAAATTCTAAACAGTTACAAATAGTCAAAGGGTTAAAAAAGTATAGCAGATGTCTGAAGTGCTTCATCCTCTGGCAATTGCATTTCTGCGCTTGCATGACTTCATTAAGTATAAACTGCTCTAATCACCCTTTCATTTACATGCATTAGCAGCATGCACACGATCTGAAACATTTCCATGGCGTTTATTAAAATGCACACGACCTGCATCGAGGAGAAAAATGATTGCGGTCGCAATTGATTTTAGTTCAGCATCTGATTAGGCTAATCACAAGGCCGCCGGCAAACAAAGCAATACTAATGAGACCACAGTTTACTTTCCACACTCAACTGGTAATCGCTCCAAATTGTTTCTTGTCTGTCATGATCAAAATTTGGAGAAGTACGCGGAGTTCAATTCCGCAACTTGATCTTAAAAGAAAAGTAAATATTTACACTACGAAGAGTCAACAGCTTTATAAAAGGATTAATGCTTTTTAAAGTTAAAATCAGACCCGCTATCCTAAGAAAATTCTCAACCATAAGGCAGTGGAATAGTTATTTGGAAACAAGAGCAAGTTTGGTTTCAAGGAAAAAACGATGATTTTGGTTTCTGGGACCCTCATTTCAAAAATAAACTTATAGGTTGTAAACAGATGCTTAATGAAAACGGAAAACTCCTAACGATGAAAAAAACAAATATTGTTCAGCAAAGCAGAAGCCGATTACACCGAAAATTAGGACCAGCTCTAAATGAAACGAGGAACTGCAACTTCTGCCTTTTTTTATGCGAGGTTCGAACAATGCATACGCACTGCCGGCAGATGGCTTACCTCAATACCATAACTAGGGTTCAATAGAACAATGACTTTTTACCACAACCCAATATCTCACATTTCTCCGAAACTGAACGGCTTGAATATCCACCAGATCGTAACCAAACTTAGCTATGTTTCTGTAACACGCAATCTTAAGTTGATCATAAAATCACCAGTAGGAATTTTTTAAAGGCATTTTTTCAGAACTTTTTTGTTCGTAACAGATTTTCTTCTAATCTTCTGTTCTTTGATCACAGAAAACATGGAGATTTAGAATTTAATTGTTCAGGTCCTAAATTTTATCTACTTTCGAATGATTTCCACATGGTTAATCAATTTTCATGAATAATTTGTGGTTTTCGGCAAAGTTTTCTTGAAAGAATTAATAGCCAGTAAAACGGATGTCCTTAAATAAGATTTTGCGGCATATTTTCTGCCATTTTAAAAACAGAAATGCGTAGATATTACATAAAATCCTTAGGAAAACATTAGCAGTATCTCTTGACTTGCTTAAAGGCTATTTTACGTTTACACTAGAATCCTGAAGAAACAAAAAGTGACTAGTATATTTTGAAACATCCTTTGTTGTTTTGCTGCTTTCGGAAAATTAGTAACGCCGTGCGTTCTGACCAAAGAACTTTCCTTCAAGGAACTTAAAATATGTGTCCTTAAAGGAAGATTAAAAAGACGCAAGTACAATCAAGGGCATTCACATGAGATCGCTTACTTGTGGCGATTACAGAGCCAGGACTACGTCCGGCAAGAAACTCCTCGCTTCTTATGAGTTTGCACGTTCAGGGGCAATTAAGCCATTAACATAATTACGCACAGATCGTCAAAAATAACGACTAGTCTGTCTCTGTGACACAAAATAACTTTCGGTGTTTGGTTACAAAACTACTCAGAAATTCTCTTGATACCAAACGGAATTCAAGTTCACTCGGTCATTTTTGCGCTGCGTCTTAAAAGCTGTCTTTACAGTGCGCCGCGGGTATTTTGGCACGTGTCTGAAGAATGTTATTCTAACGCCTTCTAAGACTGATCTCTCCAGAATCTGGCCTCTTCTTTTGTGAAAGCATCATTAGAAACGGAAAGGGAAAGAATTCCAATCTGGTGACAGTCCATAAAACTCTTAATTTTTTTTACGCAATTGTTCACTTGTCTAACAAAGTAAACACTTCACAGGCGCGAGAAATGGTTGTCCAAAATAATACGGTTGTTGTCAAAGTACTCAAGACTTTCCCGTTTAAAAATGAAAGTTTAAAAATCTCCTGCAATGTAATTTTCGTTTGTAGACGTCGGCCATTCTTCGGCAGTACAGCCTACCACGATTTCCTGATATCTGCTCGGCAGTCACGATTCATGTATAAAAATAACATGTCAATATCGCTCGATTTTTCTACGGCTAAGAATAGAACTGAGAACTTGTGCATTTAAATTTGCTCCTACGCTAGGAACGTCCAAAAAAATCTCACCAAGTCTTAAGTCTTTGAACTAAGCACTGATAAGTGAAATTTTCTTGAGTGTGTTTTCTTGATCAAAGCGGCAAGCAATGAAACACGAATAAGGTATCTGTTCTTAATCAGTACTAGTTAAAATGAGCTCTTACACAGTGTGTTCATTCATTCGCGAAATTGAAATTCACTAACCTTATACTAGGTCTTGGTGGTTTTTGAGGAGGCTTTGTCGTCTCTACTTTCTTCACAGTCTCCATAAAGTGTTTAAACAGGCTTCTCACGCAATCGAAATGTTTTAAGTATCCCAACAAACCGGCAGGGGTCGAACAGAAAAAAATTATCTACGAGGCACTTTCGTAACGGGCTTTACATGGGCACAGCTTGTGTATTTAGTCACTGAAGCGGCTAATGAATGAAAATCGAAGTTTTAATGCCCTCCGGCAGCTCGCAACTTGACACATATCCACAATGACAAGTCGCTATTGCCAGCCCGCACTGACATATTACATTCTAGCAACCAGTGTGGGTATTTCACTTTCATGATACTTTAGCGCAGAGATCGCGAAATGATAAAGTGGATCAATAGATATGAAAGGCGCTTTAAGGGATCAATAATTTTAAACAAACCCTTTACATGCGAAAAATTGAAGAGACAATCAAAGCGAAGAAGTATTATAAGAAAGCGAATAATTTACTGCTCTAGAGTTATTTTCTGCGGGTGGGAACGACACGGCGCGTAATAAATTCAAAGTGTTTTATTGTACTTAATTAAGTGACACACAGAATAATTTTAGTCTAAACAACGGGATTAAAATTTCGATTTCAATAATTCTCAGTTCGTGCGCGCATTTTGCTCGCTGACAGCCCGACTGAGAGTATGCGTAAGATGGACTCAAAAAATAAACAAGTTTAAGATGCTAGAGTTTGCGCCACTTACCGCCACACGTGCAAACTGAAACCAGAACATTTCTCTCCACATTTAAGACAGGGCTTTCCTTCGTCGAGATTCTGTAGTAAAATTCCCTGAGAACAAAAGGAAAGATTCGACTCAGCTTGACCAGCCAGCCTCCACTACGACCCGTCGTCGCAGTCTGAGAGGCGTTATTTAAATAATTATGGGGAAAAAAAATGATTTGATAGTGTCTCTCTCACTTTCTTCGATGCAGATGAGCGCTCCGAACCCATTTTAATCTCGTCGGTACTCAGGAAGCGGTGAAAATTGTCCATATTCTCAGCAGTACGCGTTCTAGAGCGTCCAGCGTTCATTGTGGCATGCACTGGAGAGGTTAAGCGAAGCGCGATGCATTGACGAAATTAAATCCCGCTTTGATATTTATCCAACAAGGTTTTCATATTTCAGTCCCTCAGGGCGCGCCGGATGTCATTTTTAGACGCGCGGGCGGCGGACGGACACGCGAGGAAATGCGCGCAAGTTGTGTGTCACTACGTGCGCAGAAAAAAGAGGACAATTGTGCGCCTTCCGGAAGTGTTTAAAAGTTATTACGAGTTAACAGAGAGAAAACCGACAGTGAGGGTGTTAATTCATTGCGCAGGGTACGAGATTTTCTTCGAGTATGACAACTGTTCAGGATGTACACACAAAAAAAATAACGTACGGCCAATGCAAAAAAAAAAATAAGGATTCTCTGAAACATACTGAAAAGTTTATTACACGAAGGCTCGGGTGCTTTTAATTAAAGAGAAAAAAATGCCTGGTATTGTTCATGCAAATCCGGAAACAGGCTTTTCACGATAATCCACCTTGGGACACTTTCTGTCTGAATTCCTTAGCGCTTTCTTAGACTTTCTAAACTGCATCCGCTACATTAAATGTAGATATGGAAACAATATCTATAATTTAAAGCTAATCTTATTTTAAGAAACCCTCTGTGTTTTTGTTTGTGAGTTAAGATAAGATTTGAATCAAAAATATCAATGCTATCTTGAATGCTCACTTTGTTACTGTCAAAGTTCAAGAACAGATTGTCAATCAAGCTTGAATTTCCGCTCAGACAAAATATTTTTACCGATGATTCACCCAGAAGATCAAAGTTTTACAAATTTCTTGATATCCTGTAAACTCTGATGACGAACAAAATGGGAAAGAAAGAGTTTTGATTTGTAAATCTCCCGGAAAATTCAAGTTTATTAACTCACGATAAATACTTTCGCAAATAATCTCCTGTAATCATCCACATTCCTAACAATCTGTTTTCTGCTTTCTTTCTTTGTTTTTCTCTCCCACCAAGGATTTTTTTCTGACGCCGAATTCTATTTGTGATACAAGTAAGGATATTAGAAAACGGTATGATGTCGTCTGGCGACAGAAAGTTCAGAGACGTCACAGTTCCAGAAGAGGTGTAACGTTCATTCGTCACGGGCAACTTGGAACAAAGGAAGTGTATGGTTCCTGCTGAGAATTTGCACCAACCTGTGTAACTGCATGGCTAATGTGTAACACTATTGCGCGACGAAGCTACAAGAAGAATTCCAAATAAAACGTTTTTGTGGCTCTGCTACTTTTATCGTTTTCACCGCGCATTGAACTAATTACGAAGGTAAACTAGCCCCAGACTTCTAATTCCGTATCGTTTTCTGTACCTCTTAGCTACGGAGATTCCATTATGGAGTATGCTTACGTTTCCTGCATACCTCTCCGTTTCAACAATATCGGAAGTCTCTTGTGTGGTTGATAAGGAAGGAATAAAGGTTGTCGATCAACTAAATATTGTAGAAACAACTCGGTATAAATTAATTTTAATTCTACAGGTCTGCCGGTTGAATTTTTAAGTCAATTTGTTTGATTTATAGAATGCAGTACCACTTTATTTTCATTTGGCAGGTCTCGATGATCAACGAGCTTCGGTGTTTCGTGTCTTAAACTGATAGAAATAAAAAAACAATCACAGCAAAACGAACGAACATAGGAAAAAAACATAAAGGCACTACCGTCAGGTAAGAGGCATTTAAGCCTATATAAAAGTACAAGCGACTCCATCTGGGGGAGGGGCCGTGGCGTCATGTTAAGTCTTCCCTATCAGGCTTGTCTTGTCAAGAAGATTACTCTTTGGCTTTACCGTAAATTCTGATCACTTAACCACGTCACTAATGAAAGATCGCGCGGCACGCGGAGCACGCGAGGGAAAATGTCGCGCTCGCTAGGAAGCCAAGAAACCTCAAGCTATGGTATCAATTGCACAGCCTATTAATAGCCACTTTCTCCCATATTAGTACCAATACTCCTCTTATCAGCTTTTGCAGATGATATTGAACGGCTAGGTGGAAAACGAGGAGTGCGGAGTCTGGAAAACGAGGAGCGTGGAAAATGTGGAGTGTAGAAAATGCGGAGCAAGGATAACCTATTATTCCATAATATTCTTTGATTGTGTTATGTCCGTAATTACAGGTACGCGAATAATTACTACTGCTTTTAGTCCCTTCGGCCTCGGCCATCAAACATCCATCGAGGGCGAAAAAGAAGCCTTTGAACATTTCTTGCCTGTGTTTCCACAATCCTCATTTTCCGCACTCCGCACTCCGCACTCCGCGCTCCTCGTTTTCCACCTAACCGAACAAAACCAAAATAAGAAACTTAAAATAGCAAGGTCAGGATAACGATGAGTGATAATGATGACAAATACAGGGAGAAAAAAGAGGAAGGAAAAAATATGAACACAACTGATCAGATGTCGACGCAATAACACTACTATGCACTGCATTGAACCGAATGTAACTGTGTCATTCTTCACTCAGAAAAGGATTTCAACATACATACATTGCCTGACTACAAGTACAGAGATTTACGCTATTATTTTTTTTTAAGCCCTGGTTAATATGGAAATATTTAGCCATGTACTGATACATTCAAAATACTTTCGGGCTGTAAAAATTGATGGAATTTAGCGAGCCGATTATCGCCGAAAGATTTATCGTATCTTTAATTAGCCATCTGAAGAAAAATGGTCACATATGAGAAAGGAACATTCCGGAAAAGATTAAGTAAATCTCCCTATCGCATTAAAAAGTTATTTGCAGTTAAACTATCATATTAATCCGGGTAAGCATCATATTTTGCTGCGTTTTTTCCAAAATGTCTTCAAAGACACAAAAACATGTCCGACTTTCCTTTCCAACAAATTACTTGTCCCTGCTTTGATCAAATCTCCTGCGCAATGTATCTGTTCTTAGAATAGAGATCCTGGGAATAACTTAGGGAAAGTATTTAAATATTCGCTGACTGGAGACCCCATGCCCTGCAAATTAATTCCTTTCGTGAAGAAAAATTAGAATAACATCAATGTTAACAAATCAATTTCCTCATATCAAACTCATGGGGTACAAATAGTCTTAACATGAACATAGTGACCACGCCCACTTCAACGCCTCACTCAAATCGAGTGTAATTTTCGAATGTTTTACCATCGTGCGGATTCTCTACGGAAAAAGCACTCAATGTACCTCTGAAATATTAAACTATAATATTTTGGCTTTCTATTTCGCTAATTTTCTAACTTGAAGGTAAAGTTTTTCCCTCGTCATTTTTACCTTTTCTCCGAGCGGTTGCGTGAAATTAACAAGACGTTTTTGATCAAAACACGACCGAGCGAAGGGTCTCGGGCGATATCTCTTTCACGCAGGCGCAAATTAAAAATGTACCGCCAGAATCTAAAAGAGGAACAAATTTCCTTTGTTTGATATTTAAAGTGTCGAACAAAAAGCAGATTTACCCCTGTCAAATGGCGTTTCAAAACAGCTGTATCGTCCTCCTTTTGATTTTTTCCTGTTTTGTCAGGCGTGAAAGCAGTAGGAGAGGGATCGGGAAACTCAGAAAGCGCTTCGGGAATTAGATGGGCAGACCACCAAAATGAAAAGAAAAAAAATACGTGTATGAATATAATATAACCTACAAAAACGTCAAATAAGAAATAAATAGCAATCATCAAAGCTCAGATACAGACATGAATGAAGAATTCAAAATTCAGTCATATCTTAATTTTTGGTTCTATTTCAGTTTTGATGATTGTTATTTATTTCTTATTGGTATAATTGCTTTCTTAAAACGAATTCAGACGAAAAAAATTGTCTTGGGATGAATTGAAAAACCGATATCATGTCTGACGGAGCAAAAAAAGAAAAAAAAAGAAAAACCAAGTTAAAAGTAAATTGTAAACTATACTTTATGTACGTGTCAGCTTATAATATACATCTGCCACAGGGGACGAAAAATTCATCCTTTTTCTCTTCTTTCTCCCAGACCTAAAGGGTTTGTCGTTCGAGCTGAAATACGGGACAAATATATCTTATAATTCACTTTCTCGTTTGATGGGTAAATTTTTCCCTCCAGTCGAGTGGATCCGTTTCCCATTTTCATTTATTTTACATGCTGAACTATATATATGGCCGGCTAGGAGGTCAATAGCCTCGGCCAGCATTTTCAAAACCTTGGTCACAGTTTTTCAACATACGGACCGACCCTTAGCCGGTAAATAAAAGGGTTTTTTTTTTAAAACTTAACGAAATTCTTTCCGAAAGAACCCGAATGATTTAGGGCTGTAAATACGGCAAGATCTTCCATAAACTGAACAATTTTTGAGCGAGTAAATGGTAGTTAAAATAGAGGTGACGCAAATTAAAGAGAGATGCTTCACTGAAGCATTTTCATTTGTGTAATGATAAAGGTGATCTATTTCATAGGTACTGAGATTTACCCACAAAAATCGTAGTGAATAAAATTCGTACTGATTCTAAATGTAGCCAATCAGGAGTACGAACGACAAAATTTCACCGTGAAAAATTATCGTTCGTCCAATCAGCAACGCGAACGACGAAATTTCACTAATGATGAATGAACGTACTGAAGAGAACGTCATGCGATAGCCGTTGCACAAAACGCGCGCGCTTTGAAAAATGGCCGAGGGAAGGTTCGCTTCTGTTTACTCAGTTGAAGAATTCATTTTAGAACACGAAAACAAAAATACCGCTCAAAAAACTGAAAGAGATGTAAAATTGCTTGAAAGATTTTTGAAAACGAAGGACGAAGACAGGAAAATTGAAGATATTCCAGCGGCTGAGTTGAATGAATTCATTAGCGAATTTATTATCTCCGTACGCACTTAAGATGGCAACGAGTACGTGCCAACTTCGCTTCGAAGTTTAATGGCCAGCTTCGAACGAAATTTGAAGAAAAAGGGCTATTCTGCCAGCATAATCAATCATAATCAAGGTAAGCTTAAGTGTTATGAACTTTATGCACTTTTATTAACTTGTTGTTGAGAAATTTTTAAACTACTTTTTACGCTTTTCATCGCCCCATTTGAGCTATTTGTCTACCAAAGACAACACGAAAAAACCTCAGCACCTATGAAATAAACACATTACAGCATGGAAAATGCTTTGTACGATTTTCATTCACTCGTTGATACGTATCAGAAAACTCACTCGTTCGCCGCGCTCACTCGTTCGTTTTCTAATACTACACAACTCGTGAATAAAAATCGTACGCGCGCATTTTCCATGAAGTAATCTCTATTTACAAGGCTTCTAAACAAACTTTGAAACATTTTATACGTATCTGTCGATCACAATCTGACACCTGTCAATTATATAGCGCGTAAGAAAAGAAAAAAGAGCGCATGTTCCCTTTTGAAAAACAACGAAACTAGTTTGGTAAGGACTGTTACCACAATGTTTTCTTCAAAAACAGTCCATGATATTACGGAAAGTATTATTCACTCTCATCGATGATTAATTCATGTACAGAGATTTACCTCTGTTCGTTAAGTAAACAGCGAGGAAAGAAATTGTAAGTACATTCAAATTTTTTATTTTGAATTTGTGACAGTTTGCTTGTTTGTTTGCTGCAATGACGTGTGTAAATCTGGTCTTCCCTCCACAAAAACTAAATTCGAACGATACACTCCAATGAGACACAAGGGGATTTACTGCGGCCTTTTCTCGTTGAATTCCGTCAGTTTCTGTTGTGCAATTTACGGTACAAATGTCTAAATTGAACGGACTTAGAAAGACTCACCGAGAGCGTATATTTGTTGTAGAACTGGAATTAAAACTTCGCTCGCCCTTTTACTACGAACAAATTGTTTGAGAAAATTCAGATATCAAATGAATGAAAGTTCCATCGATTAGTTCAACTGTAACCAAATACCTCACGTTTTAACTTTCTATGTACTTTTTGTGAACGATTATAATTAATTGCAAACGATTTTTAGGCCGCTTGTCAATTAACGTAATTAATGACATTATCGCTTACAATACAAAGAAGTCATTCTGAAACCAATATTTTTCTGTCAACCAAAGTGATTAGAGAGAGAGAAAAGAGAGGATTCATAAGTTATTTATCGGCTTGAGGTAGTGACCGACGTCTTTGCCAAAAATACTGCTTAGCCGGTAAAACGAGATATATTTATGAAAAGTGGCAACGAATGTAGAGATTTACTCGACGACTCACGAAAGCGATACCGTTGCCCGTAGGCAGAGATAAGAAAATACTGACTGGGTAAAAAACCAATCAGATTGTGGAATTCGTTACCGTGCCCTCTGAAAAAAAAATATTTAGTATTATTGTAGGCATCACTAAAATCTGACATGGAAAACGAAGAACGGGAACGGTAACAACCGCCTATTGTTTTCAAACTGTGACATCATTATCACTAGGGAATTCGCTCCATTTCCTGTTTCCGTTTGTGAATGTTAACAAATTACCAACAATGCAATAGCGTTGAGTATCTCTAAGATAATCACATGGAGTATCACCCTCTAAACGGAGGCCTTCTGAACTAATGCACAGGGTTATCCTTAAGACTTAATAAATCCATCAGGTGTGTTCTGTTATCAAAGTCTTTAGTTTCCTAGAGAAATTAAGAGCGAGGTCTTTTCTAAATTACCGTAGAGGTCTTACCAACAACGTATTGGACATTTTCCGTATTTAGATAAGATGTTCAGCTGAGTCATAGTAATGCTGGGAGATCATGGAATTCTCAGCACCTTTCCTCGCCACTTACTGGCCATACATTGCCTCAATTTTGGTTGGCATCATCCTTTCTCACTTTGTTAAAAGAAGTTTCCAGCCAAAGAGCCCTGGCTACACAGTGGATGTAGATCCCTTGGAAGACAACGAACACGACATCATACCTCCTGCCAATCCACTTAACAATCAACTAATTGGTGAAGGCAATGCCCCTCACATAGCATATCCCTGGTTTGACAATCGTTTGGAGGAGGCTCAAATGAAAAAAATATCAGCTGAGTTCTACGAGAAGATGAACCATCGACGATCAGTCCGAAAAATTAGCGATGAGGACATACCAATTGAAGTTGTTGAAAATCTCATCAGAACTGCAGGTATTAAAATGAAATTTGACCCTTATAGAAGGCATGAAAGCTCAACTGTAGCAATAATGTTCGCTTAAGAAAACTCTGGTGGCCTTTCAAAGGCGAAGCAAAGTGTTCTCTCTACTGAACTTTTGGCAAAGCAAAGACTTCTTGGTGGAGTTGTATCCTGCTTGTGGTTGTGGGCTGACAGTATGTCATGCTAATAATAGTAGGTCACATCGCCCCCAAAACCAAGTCACCCAAAATCAAGTGTAGGCATTTCCCCCATCCCTTTCAAGACTGATCATGTCACCCTACCATAGAACAACTGAAGTATCCCATCCTTATTTCTTAACCCTTTAAACCCAAAGAGTCACCAGCATCTCATTTCTCCTTTCAATAATGCTGCTAAATCATTCACTAAAAGATCATCAGAATAAAGGAAATGCTTTCCAAGTTAAGAAGCTTTGATCTTCAAATGAATTCTCCTTGTCAGTACTAAAAGAAACATACAGAGTAAGTATAGAGAATATGGGCACTGATGTTAGTGTGTGAAGGGTTAATCTTAGTCAACTTTATTTAACCATGGTTAATCTCTCAGGAATTACAAGTTATGAATATAAATATACATACCAGCACTAAGTCTACCTTATACAACATTGTACTTCTGCCTTTGCCAAAGAATAAAAAAGAATGGAAAAAAAAAACCTGATTTTTGAGGATGCTGTGCTGCAGATGTGATAAACACATTTTAATATGAATTTATCAGATACTCGAAAGTCATTGAAAATAAACAATTCAGCCACTCCGGAAGTTATTGCATGGTGTTGAATCAAAAACTATTTCCTCTAAATCAAACTTTTGTTATGGTGAAAAAAAATCCAACAGGTTAAGTTTTATTGTTATGATCATTGTTGAGCATTCTTTACCTATCGTAATAAGTTTCTGTCTTTAACGCTGAATCAACGTCACAGAGACCCCCTGTTTTTGGCATTTTTTACAGATAACATATTTATTGTAAATGAGAAAGAACTTCTCTTCAATCTTAAGAGATATTATCAAATCAAACCTGGTTGCCATGATGACTTGGAATAAGGAGGGCCAGAAAAGACTTTTCACCTGCAAAGTCCTGAACCTTTTTAAAACAATTTATTATTTAATCAAGACTCATAATTATTTGCTTCCAGAGAAAGACTGTTCCCCACTTTTGCGTAAAGGCCGACTCATCCATCCAAGGTGAAAACTGTTCAGCCTTAATTCACTGTGTCACAAATCTGTGTTTTCAGGAACCTCTCCTAGTGGAGCCCATACAGAGCCTTGGACCTTTGTAGTAGTGAAAGACAAATCTTTAAAGGCCACAATTCGAGAAATTGTGGAAGAAGAGGAAAAACTAAATTATGCCAAGAGAATGGGAGAAAAGTGGGTGAAGGATCTGGAGTTTGCGAAGACAACTTGGTATAAGCCGTACCTGAACAGTGCACCATATCTCATTCTTATTTTCAAACAGGTGTATGGATTTAATGAGGATGGAAGCAAGAAGACACATTACTACAATGAAATGAGTGTGTGCATCTCTGTTGGCCTTCTTCTTGCAGCCATCCAAGTAAGATAAGGGACTTATTCAGGGGGAGGGACTTTACAGGGACTTATTCCAAGGAGGCTTTTCCTTAGGTATTAGCAACCTGTGCAGCATGATTGACAGTATCATTGTTGGGTCTGTGAAATTGAGTATAAGCCTGTAAGAGGTGTCTGATTGAGGCTGAAAAAAAAAACCATATTTTTAATCTGAAATAGCACAAGGGTTGCATACAGTAATTTTGCCATAGACCCTTACTGACAACTTCTGAGAGTACCTTTCCTCCACCCCCCTCCAACCCCTCCTTTCCCAACCTAGGGTCGTGGATCTGTTTGCTTTGTGGAGGAAAGGATACAATTTTAAACTTACGGCAGTTGTAATCAATTCATTTTGACCTTCTCATTGATTAAGCAAGTCCCCCTTACAACCAACTTTATCATTATCAGAATGCAGGTTTAGTCACAGTGACTTCCACACCCATGAATACGGGACCAAGATTGCGAGATTTGCTTGGAAGGAAAGTAAATGAAAAGCTGTTATTGCTGCTTCCAATTGGTTACCCAGCTAGCGATGCAACAGTTCCAGACATAAAAAGGAAACCACTTCAAGATATTATGGTTTTGAAGTAGAAAGATGGTGATGTGCAATTATTACATTTGTAGTTACTGCCAATGGTTCTTCCCTCCCCTTGAGGAAGAGTCTCACAAAAATACAACTCTCAAGACAGCTTTTTTTGTTTTTATTGATGTATATTTAGAAAATGCTCTAATCCTGTAGAGTTCTTGAAATTGTTTTAAATGGCCATCTGTAATTCATTAAACACTTCCCACTTAAAACACATTGTATCTTTTAAAGGCAAATCACAACAAAAGGTACTCTACATGCAAAGCAAGGTTCTTGCCTTTTAACCCTATCTCTACCAAGACATAACTGTAAGTTCTCTCCACTGTCTGTTATACATTCCTTTTATTTTCTCTCAGAGAATATACTGTTTAGTCAAACAGAATCTCTGTGCTAATTTTCTTTTGGATTTCTACTTTTCCTATCATTCACTTTTTATTCTGAAAAAGTATGGTTGTAAGAAGAAGTTGCTTTGTGGTCAGTGGTGGGAGTGAAATGGTTAAATTGTTGATGAAGTAGTAGAGTTAAATGGCAATCCTTGGCAAGACTCTTATACCTTTATCCTTTTTAGTCAATTGGTGATAGGAAACATGAATTGTTGAAAAAGAATAAATTGATTATAGCCTACAACTGTTGCCACAAATTGTGGGCTGAATGGTTTTTGAAAGCAATATCTTGTGGAATTCATAAAAATGTTAATGTTATGTAGTATTTAGTTTTAGTGACCTGTCATTAGCAAGTGTGGGCATCCTTAAACTATCCACTGACACATCACATGTAAATTGAAAAGTGGTGCTATATTAAAGTTTCTCAAATAAGTATTAGGTAAATGTCTGTTTGTCTTTATCCGTATGGATGTAGCACAGATGTATTTCTGGAGTAATACTTGTTGTAAAAAAATCTTCCTCTGATAGTTGTTTGAATTTTTTTTATTTACTGAAAATAGTTACAATAAAGAAATATCAGAGATTTCCTAAATATATTTTTCATAAAAAGTTAACTTCAACACATACATCATATAGTTTTGTCACCAAAATAGACATTCACATCTTGTGAAGAAAATTTGATCTACTTTTACAGTAAATTATTTTCTAAGTAACTTTTTCCATATTAGGATTACCACATGGGTGAATACCCTGATTTGCTGCCACAAAAGTGAGTAACAAGGCTGCCAAGCGCTATTCACCTCCCCCTCCATAAACAGTAGAAGCACGAGAAATGGACCAAGGAAACGGACAGGAAGACATTTGTACGTTTTTTTTATTCAAATATATTTTTGTTTTCTCCTTTAGTGAACGTCTGGATTATTACCGTAAAGGTCTGGTACCATTTCAATAACTTTGTTTCCTTTTATATTTATATTTTTTTATCCGACCTATCTTCCCCTTTGCCTTTTGCACTTCTTTCCTACATTCTTTCATTTAGTTTCTTCGGTCTTTCAGTTCTTTTTCACAAAAAAGAGGTTGGTATTTCTCAAGTTCCTGCTACTTTCCATCCCAACAGATATCGATACTGGTGCTGTAGATGGTAGACAAATCAGGAAACGATCAAGGAGACCATTATTATTTGCCACTAGCTTTAGCATTACGTACCTCAGGAAAGGATGTGGTTGCGTAAAACAAGAAAGAGCCAAAGCTGCGGAGGGAACCCCAACCCTTTTGTTTGTATTTCCTTTCGTTTCATACCAGTGAGAACCGTCGTAACACTGTAATAATCGTTTCATCGCCGGAGCCGAGGCACTCGTCTTGAATTCGACTACCTCCTTGAACCATTCTTGATATTCATCGATGGCACACAACACTACGCGATTTTTACTTCGCAAAAAGAACTTAAATAAACCTTCCTAGCTGGCATCATCAAGAAGCAATTCACCACCGACTTTTTCTTCTCCCTTAAACGCTTTAAAGTACCACCAATGGCACAACAGTGGAAAGTATGCAATGGCAAGTAACATCCCCAGGGAGGAGAGGGATCACAAACTCTTTTCTCCGTTCGTTTTCGAGAGGGAACACATGTACTCTCGGCAACGTATGTCTCAACTACCATGTGTTTGGATACCAGCCGATCACACATTTAAAGTGTCTGCGAACATTGGCACATGGAATCAAGGAGTTTGGGTCAAGCAGTGTGACTCACTTTTCCCGTTTTAAATGAAAAAAAGCAAGTTCTTGCTTGGTGATTGGCGAGAGGTACCTCGTTTGAAAGAGTGAAGAACATGATTCATAACCTGAAGAGGAGATTGGACTACAACGGTGTCAAAGTGCAATCGATTTGTATAGAGAGCTGCTGCAAAGATTTATCGTATCTCTAATTAGCCATTTGAAGAAAAATGGTCACATATAAGACAGAAACATTCCAGAAAAGATTAAGTAAATCTCCTCTACCGCATTAAAAAGTTATTTGCAGTTATCATAATAATGCGGGTAAGTATCATATTTTGCTGTTTTTTTTTCCAAAATATCTTCAAAAGACATAAAAACATGTCCGGCTTTCCTTTCCAACATTCTAAGAACAGATACATTGCGCAGGAGATTTGACTAAAACAGGGACAAGCTATTTGAGTCAGTCTACTCTAACTTTAATCAAATCTCCTGCGCAATGTATCTGTTCTTAGAATAGAGATCCTGGGAATAACTTGGGGAAAGTATTTAAATATTTGCTGACTGGAGACCCCATGCCCTGCAAATTAATCCCTTTGGTGAAAAAAAAAATAAGAATAACATCAATGCTAACAAATCAATTTCCTTCTCATTGAAAATAGGTTATGCCGAAAAAGTAGGTTCAAGTGGGTATTTATTTATTTATTTATTTCATACAATTCAATGACAATAAACAAAATCATCATCACAGTCTAAAAAAGAGTCATAGACCTCATACAAAGGCAGACCACATAAAAGAAAAGAAAAAATACATGTTTAAATATAATGTATCCTACAAAAACTTCAAATAAGAAATAAATAACAATCATCAAAACTGAGATACAGACATGAATGAAGAATTGAAATTCAGTCATATCTTAATTTTTGGTTCTATTTCAGTTTTGATGATTGTTATTTATTTCTTATTGGTATAATTGCTGTTTGAAAACAAATTCAAACGAAAATCAAAGTGCTCTGTGAGCAAACTCGTGAATTGACACATGATTTTTTGGATTTCGTCTAATGTTATCTGGTTTAGGGAATTTTGTGGTTGATTGTCATATCTAGAGTACGAGCAGTAGTTTGGTGTTCGTAGCAAAGAAACAAAGTAACGTTGGGATAAGAAGGCATTACAATTGAAATGATCATGCTATTACATTTGACAAGGGTGGATGATGTCAAGTGTTTTAAACGTATATCATTTTTGTTTCTGGTTTTGTCTTCAAAAGAAAAGGTTGGAAGTAAATGTGGGTGAAAAGTGAAATTTTCTGTTTATCATTGTAAATATTAGAAAACCAAGGCAATACTGTCTTAATGAAAACATTAACGATTCCCTCTTTATCAAATGAGACAAACGGGAACGAGTTTTGAGTGATATAACTAAGCCCAGACTGCCACCGTCATTTTGGATCTCCGCCTGGGTAGATTTTAGTCACGTACTAGGCAACGTATAATCAGGAACAAGATAGAATTTCATTTCAGGCCTATTTATCAATTTTGTGGGGTATAACTTTCGCATTTTAGTACGTAATATTTATTTTGAATCTTCAAATTGTCTTGAAACTTAAAAGAAAATTGTTCTTTAAAAATTCACTAAAAATCGGTAGCTAAAATTGTTTGTTTAGGTGTTATTTGATTTTCGTGATAACTTGTAATTTCGTCAGTCGCCGACATCTTTTGTTGCTTCACACAGGAAAAACACACGATACGAAACGTAATGATCGATTTTTTCCTCAATCTCACGCCATAACAGAAAAAGCTTTTGAACATCTGTAAACTCCGAGCGCTTCGCAGTAAGTGATATTTTCAATGAATCTTCAGATTGTTTTCAAGTTCAAGGATTGTAAATTACAATTTTATGAAAAACGAAGGTTGTTCTGTTATTTCAGTGTGAATCCTTGCTTGCCTGCCAGTCGCTGGCGCCACTTGTTGAAACTAAAACGAAAAAAAACTCTTTTAAGATAATCATTGGCTTCTTTTTCACGCCACCACTATTCTTAGCGACAAAGGTCGCCATTTCGTTTGTTTATTGCTCGCCAAAAACCATCAAATGCACTCAAAAGCCTAAAATCGAAAAAAAGGTTACGGGAATCGATTAATCGAGCGAGTGTCATTTTCCACATCATATCTACAACCCGCTCTTGTGCATGCGCGCAATTCACGAGTTAAAAATTAGCTTGAGATGAATTGAAAAACCGATATCATGTCTGACAGGGCAAAAAAAAGAAGAAAAACCAAGTTTAAAGTAAATTTTAAACTATACTTGTACGTGTCGGCTTGGGATCAGTGTATCAGTTTCCCATTTTTATTTATTTTACATACTGAAGTGTTTAGTCTTATTGTGGGCGTCACTAAAATCTGACATGGAGAACGAAGAACAAGGAACGGGAACAGGGAACGGGAAAGGAACGGTTCTAGTAACAACCGCTTATTGTTTTCAAACTATCTATGTGTTTCTCCGTTCATTTCCTGTCTCCGTTTGTGAATATCGTGAACAAATTACCAACAATGCAGTCGCTTTGAAGATCTCGAAGATAACCACGCGGAGTATCACGCCCAGAACTGAGGCCTTCTGAACTAATGCACAGGTTTATCCTCAAGACTTAATAAATCCATTATGTGTGTTCTATTATCGAAGTCTTTAGTTTCTTAGAGAAATTCAGACCGAGGTTTTTCCCAAATTATCTTAGAAGTCTTACTGACCATCTCGACCATTTACTGGTGTTCCTGTGCACATACCTTCCTTAGAAGTTTTCCGTACTCAGTTAAGATATTTAGCTGAGTCATAGTAATGCTGGGAGATCATGGAATTCTCGGCACCTTTCCTCGCCACTTACTGGCCGTACATTGCCTCAATTTTGGTTGGCGTCATCCTTTCTCACTTTGTTAAAAGAAGTTTCCAGCCGCAGAGCCCTGGCTACACAGTAGATGTAGATCCCTCGGAAGACAACGAACACGCCGCCATACCTCCTGCCGATCCACTTACCTATCGGCCGATTGGTGAGGGCAATGCCCCTAACATAGCATATCCCTGGTTCGACGATCGCTTGGAGGAGGATCAAATGAAAAAAACATCGGCGGAGTTCTACGAGAAGATGAACCGTCGACGATCGGTCCGAAAAATTAGCGACGAGGACGTGCCTATTGAAGTCGTTGAAAATCTCATCAGAACTGCAGGTATTTAAGGGACATGAAAGCTCAACTGTAACAATGCTGTTCACTCAAGAAAACTCCAGGGGCCTTTCAAGGGCGAAGCAAAGTGTTCTCTCTACTGAATTTTTTAACAAATTACTATTGAATTTACTCTACTGAAATTTTGGCAAAGCGAGGACTTCTTGGTGGAGGTGTATCCTGCTGGTGGGTGTGGGGGGGGGGGGGGCTGATAGTCTGTCATGCTAATAATAGTAGGTCACATGGCCCCCAAAACCAAGTTACCCAAAATCAAATGTAGGCATGTCCCCCATCCCTCCCATGACTGATCAAGCCACCCTACCATAGAATAACTGAAGTATCCCATCCTTATTTCTTAACCCTTTAAACCTTGACCAGCATCTCATTTCTCCTTTCAATAGTACTGCTAAATCATTCACTTAAAGATCATCAGAATAAAGGAAATGCTTTCCAACTTAAGAAGCTTTGATCTTCAAATGAATTCTATTTGTCAGTACTAAAAGAAACATACAGAGTAGAGTATAGAGAATATGGATACTGATGTTAGTGTGTGAAGGGTTCATCTTAGTCAACTTTATTTAACCATGGTTAATCTCTCAGGAATTACAAGTTATGAATATAAATATACATACCAGCACTAAGTCTACCTTATACAACATTGTACTTCTGCCTTTGCCAAAGAATAAAAAAGAATGAAAAAAAAAAAACAAACTGATTTTCAAGGATGCTGTGCCACAGATGTGATAAACTCATTGTAATATGAATTTATCAGATACTCAAAAGTCATTGAAAATAAACAATTCAGCCACTCCGGAAGTTATTGCATGGTGTTGAATCAAAAACTATTTCCTCTAAATCAAACTTTTGTTATGGTGAAAAAAAATCCAACAGGTTTAGTTTTATTGTTATGATCATCGTTGAGCATTCTTTATCTATCGTGGTAAGTTTCCGTCTTAACTCTGGATCAACATCACAGAGGCCCCCCCGTTTTTGAAAATTTCACAAATAACATATTTATTGTAAATGAGAAAGAACTTCTCTTCAATCTTAAGAGATATTATCAAATCAAACCTAGTTGCCATGATGACTTGGAACAAGGAGGGCCAGAAAAGACTTTTCACCTGCAAAGTCCTGAACCTTTTTAAAATAATTTATTATTTAATCAAGACTCATAATTATTTGCTTCCAGAGAAAAACCCATCCCCACTTTTGCGTAATGGCTGACTCATCCATCCAAGGTGAAAACTGTTCAGCCCTAGTTCACTCTGTGTCACAAATCTGTGTTTTCAGGAACCTCTCCCAGTGGAGCCCATATGGAGCCTTGGATCTTTGTAGTAGTGAAGGACAAATCTTTAAAGGCCACAATCCAAGAAATCGTGGAAGAAGAGGAAAAACTAAATTATGCCAAGAGAATGGGAGAAAAGTGGGTGAAGGATCTGGAGTTTGCGAAGACAACTTGGTCTAAGCTGTACCTGAACAGTGCGCCATATCTCATTCTTATTTTCAAACAGGTGTATGGATTTACTGAGGATGGAAGCAAGAAGACACATTACTACAATGAAATGAGTGTGTGCATCTCTGTTGGCCTTCTTCTTGCAGCCATCCAAGTAAGATGAGGAACTTATTCAGGGGGAGGGACTTTACAGGGACTTATTCCAGGGAGGCTTTTCCTTAGGTATTAGCAACCTGTGCAGCATGATTGACAGTATCATTGTTGGGTTTGTGAAATCAAGTATAAGCCTGTAAGTGGTGTCTGATTGAGGGTGAAAAAAATAACCACATTTTCAATCTGAAACAGCACAAGGGTTGCATACAGTAGTTTTGCCATAGACCCTTGCTGACAACTTCCAAGAGTACCTTTCCTCCCCCCCCCCCTCCTCCCACACAACCCCTCCTTACCCAACCTAGGGTCATGGATCTGTTTGCTTTGTGGAGGAAAGGATACAATTTTAAACTTAGGGCAGTTGTAATCAATTCATTTTGACCTTCTCATTGATTAAGCAAGTCCCCCTTTACAACCAAATTTATCATTATCAGAATGCAGGTTTAGTCACAGTGACTTCCACACCCATGAATGCGGGACCAAGATTGCGAGATTTGCTTGGAAGGAAAGTAAATGAAAAGCTGTTATTGCTGCTTCCAATTGGTTACCCAGCTAGCGATGCAACAGTTCCAGACATAAAAAGGAAACCACTTCAAGATATTATGGTTTTGAAGTAGAGAGATGATGATGTGCAATTATCACATTTGTAGTTAACGCCAATGGTTCTTCCCTCCCCTTGGGGAAGATTCTTGCAAAAATACAACTCTTAAGACAACTTTTTTTCGTTTTTATTGATGTATATTTAGAAAATGCTCTAACCCTGTAGAGTTTTTGAAATTGTTTTAAATGCATGGCCATCTGTAATTCATTAAACACTTCCCACTTAAAACACATTGTATCTTTTAAAGGCAAATCATGACAAGAGGTACTCTACATGCAAAGCAAGGTTCTTGCCATTTAACCCTATCTCTACCAAGATATAACTGTAAGTTCTCTCCACTATCTGTTATACATTCCTTTTATTTTCTCTCAGAGAATATACCATTTAATCACACAGTATCTCTGTGCTAATTTTCGTTTGGATTTCTACTTTTCCTATCATTCACTTTTTATTCTGAAAAAGTATGGTTGTAAGGAGAAATTGCTTTTAGTCAGTCATGGGAGTGAAATGGTTAAATTGTTGATAAAGTAGTATTAATAGTTAAAATTATGGCAATCCTTGGCAAGACTCTAAAACCTTTATCCTTTTTAGTCAATTAGCTATAGGGAACATGAATTGTTGAAAAAAAAAAATACAAAATTGATTATGGCCTACAACTGTTGCCACAAATCATGGGCTGAACTGTATTTGAAGGCAATATCTTGTAGAATTCATAAAAATATTAATGTTATGTAGCATTAAGTTTTAGTGACCTGTCATTAGCAAGTGTGGACGTCCTTAAACTATCCTCTGACACATCACATGTAAATTGAATAGTAGTGCTATATGAAAAGTTTCTCAAATAAGTATTATGGTAAATGTCAGGTAGTCTTTATCCATATGGATGTAGCACAGATGTACTGCTAGAGTAATACTTCTTGTAAAAAATCTACCTCTGATAGTTGTTAGAATTTTTTTATTGACAGAAAATAGTTACAATAAAGAAATATCGTAGAGATTTCCTAAATATACTTTTCAAAGAAAGTTAACTCTAACACATCCATCATATATTTTTGTCACCAAAATAGACATTCACTTCTCGTGGAGAAAATTTGATTTACTTTTACAATAAATTATTTTCTAAGTAACTTATTCCTTATTAGGATTTATTACCACATGGGTGAATACTCAGCCCTGATTTGCTGCCACAAAAGTGATTAGGAAGGCTACCAAGTGCTATTCACCTCCCCCCCTTTGAGATGAAGAAATGAAATAATTGTGCTTCCAGAGATTCATTTCCAACTATTTTTTTCATTTACTAAAAGTAATGCACTAATTTTTTGCTTTTTTGTGTAGTAAATATAAATAATCCAGTAATCCAACTTGGTGTTCCTGAAAGTGGTGGATAAGTATGTCTCCACTTTGCCATTCAATAAATATCCACCACTATTCATCCCACTCTGGTGAAATATACTTTCACACTTGTGAACCAATGACTGTGTGAGCTGATTTTCATGAGTGCAAAGTCACAGGGGGCAATTCCTTCATTCAGCAGTTCACTGATGAATAATCAACAGTGGTATTAAGATGCCCATTCAAGCAATCAGTTTCTCTATTTATGGAATGCTGACGAATGATTGGTTGTCCTATTGTCCCATCAACATCATAAGTTGCCTGAAGTGAGTCGGAGCGTTTCACTCCAGTTGGAGATCTTGAGTCAAAACATAGTGTACAACACTGGAAACAGCGACGAAACTTACCAAAACATTTTTCAGTAAAAAAGCAAAATAGAAGAAAGTTTGCAAATCCAGGGGCATTATCTCCAATACCCTATAACAACAACAATTACAAGAAAGTAAGCATAAAAAATCAGTAAAGGTAAATACATTGGGAACATATGCATAGCATGATTGCAATATTCACAATTTGCTTATCATAACTACATAGTTCCATAAACAAGAATTCAGGATGTAAATTAAATTGTTGCACATTGCAAGTATGACTGGAAAATAAAAAAATACTAACTGTAAGGAGTTTTTTAAATAAAACCATTACAAACCCTAACTGAGGTAATTTCTATCTGTTTCTCACTAATTCTTAATCCCAATTTCGCTCACCTGTAGAATGAGCAGCCAAAATGGTGACTCATGGTGTGAAATCATCAGGAGAAATCTTATAGTTCCCCAAACACGCAACAACACAAATAATAAGGGAACACAAATCAGTTTCCTTTCTGCCTTCTGAGCTTGTGCCACTGTACTTTCAGTGAATACTCTGTTTTTCTCATGAAGCTAAGGAGACAATCCATGCATTTGTTGTTTTATATTGAAGTATTCTTAAAGTTTTAAGGATAGTTATATATTAAGATCTACAAATATCATACAGCCATTCATATCATATTGATCTTTTCCTAGATCCACCCAACTACTAAACTAAGAAAAATACATAATAACTGTAAGTTAACACCCCCTCAACCCCAATGTCTGATATGCACTCTAATTTTTGAGCAGGTTTCAAAGTTTTTTGTCCCCACTGGAATTTATGAAAGAAGCATTCCACAAACATACTAACCACAGCCAACCAAAGAGTAATGTTACCAAACTTGCAAAACAATGCAAAAAAAAAGTAAGCCTAAGAAGAGAAAAACACACTGCTTGCACTCAAGTGCCTCAACCCCTCACTCTGAATACATCATGATCCTAATCAACGCTTGCAGTCTGTGTCTGTTGCTCTTGCAGCAATAAGGAGTAACCTTTTGACCCCTAAGAGTGACCAGCATCAAGTCAAGTCAAATCTATTGTGCATATACAATGAGGAAAATCTCACCAACTAGTTTGCAGGTATAACACGGAAAGTTAAAGTAAAAAGAACTAAATTGAGATAATATTGTCTATAACTAAGATGATATAAGATTCAAATAGTATCTCAGCAATATTGGGGACACCAACAAAGGCAAAAGCTGGCATTTAATAATCAAGCAGTACTACCAAGGTCTGGAAGGGTATTTTCGAATCCAGGATTTGACCAAAATACAGTGTGGGATTCAGGAAAATGCAAAATATCTTGACAGGACTCAGGATTTGACTGCTCCCCAGGAAGTGGAATTTGCCAAAATTAGAGTACAGGATGCAGGATTTTTTGGCCTATCTGTTGGGAATTTGGTATAGTGCCATGAACCGAATAAACGTTCTAGTGGTGAAAGTAAATCAAACAGGTGAGCACTTGGTGTGTAAGTGGTGTCTCCTTTCAAACCAAATAATAGAGTGCATGTACCTGGTCAGTAGTTATCTAATTGAAACTGTCAAGAAATCACCAGACCCTGGACCCTGAGACAACAAAGGGTATTTTTTTTCCAACCGGATACCAGGAAAGTGCACTTGGTGTAATAGCATATCAGTTATAATGACTAAATATAACTCTTTCTCAAGCTCTTTACATGACTTCACAACTGTTATCCTGAGCAGTTGAGAGGATTGTTTTTAACAATAAGACCACAAGATATGGTGAATACTGATACCAATGCTGATACTCCCATGACCAACACTCAGCTCAACTCAGTCAAAGTTTTGTTGTCATTTTTTGCAGCCACTGATGAGTCAGACATGTCTTCTAGTGCCATAAGTACTGAGACAATCCACAAAAAAATTTAATATCCCATTAAGTGAAGAACAGAGAGAGCTATAGAGATTTAAGATCCATTTAAAAAACCTTTACTGGTCTAGAGGATATTGCACAGAGTTAAGGTCTTGGAGAAAACCCTGAGGGCACCATTGCTGTTCACATGCTCCACAATCACAGGAGCCAATCTAAATCTTACATTCATTTCCTTTTGCCTTTTTCAATGTATTCGTGGGAAAGAAAAACAGGATTCACAATGATGATAAAAGAACGTACAGGAAATGGGACTCTAGTAAAAAATGAGCAGGAATTCTGGATCAAAGCCCCCCCTTCCAGACCCTGTACTACTTCAACCTCATAAATACTACAGTGGAACCTGTATGAAGTGGTACCATATTCAGCGGTCACCCTGTATAATGCAGTTGGTTGTCAAAGTCCTGAATTTGTTTTTCCTAAAACACTGTAATTTTCACCTCTGTCCAGTGGTCACCTCTATGAAGTAGTCTTGGTCACCCTTTATTCAATCCCAACAGCCTGTTTGTATTGTCTTTCACCTGTATTGAACGGTCACTTAGGCTGGAATTTCAAGTATAATTTAATCCATCTTTATCTCCCTAAATAAGTGTTTGAAGTATTTTTGCAACTTGAGCAACTTAAGTGGTCAATTGTGGCATAAAATGGTGTTTTTATTCTGTGGAGCTGGTATTGATTGGTCAATCTGTATTAAGCAGTGACCTAACCATTCCCAATGGGTGACCACTTGATACAGGTTCGACAGTATTTCATACTACAATATTGATAGTTCATTTTAACCCTTGAACTCCCAAAAGGGATTAGCATGTAACTTCTCCTCATAATATCCATCATTATGCAGCAAAAATGCTATGAGAAGACCTACACTAGGTAGAAGTTGTTATTGTGCTCTAACACCAAATTCTTGTAGCTCGTTTACAAGGAAATGTTTAGCAGCTACCAGAGGAGGATTTATTTCTTGAAAGTTTAAGGGTTAAATGGCTTGAGTTCATTGCAATTAATAGCAAAATAACCTTACCTCCTTCTTCATATTTCGTTTGACTAAGGCATAAAGTACAACTATTGCACAAAATGCCATTATTTCCCATAATTTTCCTGCCAACAGCATCCATTCGATTTGCTCGTGCCAGTTCAACTTTATGTTGATCCAACACCATCCTGCTGAGACTTTGTTGCCGTTGTCTCCCAGTTTATGAGTCGACGCTGCGACAGTCACAATTATTGCTGGTATTCCCCAGCCAAACACGTGAAATAAGTACAACAAACGCTCAGCTAGTCGGGAATTCTTCCAGCAAACAGAAATGTACAGATACAACGCCATAGAAACTGTCCAGAAGAAAGAACACAGCACAGAAAAAGTTCCGATGATACTTTGGACGAAACAGACCTCTTTGTTTTCAGTTCCTGACAACCAAAAATTTGTTATAGCAGCGATTGTTGCAACACATGTGAGAAAGTCTGCGATAGAGATGTAAACCAGAATTCTCCTTGACGTAGTTCGAATGTCCTTCCATAGAAAGAAAGAGACGATGATGAAAAGCGTACCAAAAAGAGACAGAACTGTAGTTATTGTCGCCAAGATTTCGTTCTCCTCCATCGCAGCGCTGATACAACAATCTCTACGTAGCCTTCGACTGTGGCGTAACAGAACTTATTACGGAAAGTGAAGCATTGTACGATTTCACACACAATAGAAATTTGATACTGAGATTGCGTCACGTATCTAGTACGCTACGACGTGAGCTGTGACGGAGGGGGTGTGTTGAGGGGTAACACGAGGGGGCGTACTAATTCCAGAGTCGTTTGTCACCGATAATTTTTCATTTTTCTTTTCGCTAATTTTGCTGCTACCGGGCTTTTCCGGTATTGAAGGAACAGTTTTGTCAGGTACCAGGGTTCTAAAATTAGAAGGTTGTCAGTTTCAAGTGTGGTTTTCTGTCTCAAAATCTGTTACTTATGAATATATTAAAGTTTTATTGCCTTGCTGGGTTGCTGGTTTTCTTTAGAAATATAGACAGGTTTCTCGCTTGAAATAAGAGCAGTAGTCTCGCAAAAAGTCCCGTTATTTTCTTCCCCAGTTGTTTCACAATTCGGGACTCATAACGCATCGGACCACTCCCCACCCCCGCTCAGCACGCCGCGGTTTAACTCATCCGCGAATAGACAAGCAAAGTTTCGCGCCCGAATAGAGGCTATCGTGATTATATCCCTCAAATATTTTTACAACGCGCGGGAAATACATATATTTCATGAATGGGAGGAGTAAGAAGTAATAAGTGGATGCCGAGAGTTGTTATTCTCTTGTAGATGCTCATTTTATTGTCGAGGATTGTCCTTTGCTATTTCTTCACACTGATGTGTTTCTAAACGGATTGTTCAAAACTGTGACAAACTTCGACTTCGACACTGGTTTTTTTCCGCCTGTTTCGAGAAGAACATTGCTCGCGTGACATTTGCGTTACGTTTAAAAGTTTATTTAGTTTAATATTTCACTTTTTCTTTTCACTTATTGATCACCTTGATTGACACTGAAATATGAGTAAGTTGATGGTTTTTAGTTAGTTTTTACACGTGTCGTGTCGGAGGCATGAATCAGGATAGCTTTCCCGTTTTTGATGATTATACAGTTTAGTTTAACTCTGGAATCCCGTCACGAAGTAAGTCAGTTGTTTAAGTCGTTTTTGGTTTCCTTAGGCTTTGTTACATTCAATTATTCGCGTTGATTTCTGTTAGTGTAATTTCTGTAAGGCCGCATGTAATTAGCGGTTAAATCTGTTCGTGTTTTGAAGATTATATGATGTGCTTAGGTCTCTTATTTTTGGTTAGGTTCTGTTGTTTAGAAATCTTATTTATTTATTGTTTCAGATCGAATAAAATTCTATTTTTACGATTCGGGATTCTTTAGAGCCACGCAAGTAATTTGGTTTTCATCCGACGGATCACCGCCCTTGGGCTCTTATTTGTTTCTGTTATGAGTTGGTACTCGCCCCTTGATATTTACTGTGTTTGATATCTGTTGTGATTACTGTGCTTTTGAGTTTTAAGAGACTCAATCAAAAAGCGCTTTACTTAATTTAGCTATGTTTTTAACAAGAGAAAATCTTGATTTTAAGTATTCGGATGTCATTCACACAGTGTGCTTATAGCCGGATCGAATTCAAAATAGCCAGCAAACAGGCATTGATTATTGGCGCCTCGGCAAGAGCGTTTCTTTTCCCGCAAGAAATTTTTAGTTCACACGGGAAGAGAGTGGCCAACGAGAGATCTGCGAGAGTTCTGGCAAAAATAGTGAGTGCTAGACAGAGCCAGATTCTCCCAGACACAAAACAGACCCCTCGCCAGCTCTCCTCAAACTTTCTCGCGGGCGAAGAAAAGGGCGTTCTGCAGCGCTAAAAGTGGGCCATATTTCTACCGTCAAGTTTGGGGATAAATAAATTAATGTGCACGGTGTGTTTAATAGTCCACATGCGCCAGGCTTAGTTACTCCTATACATACAGTGCAAGAGCACAAAGCCAAAGACTCAGCCAAAGAGCAGTTATAGAATACTCGCGGCGTCCTGCCCCACACATCTCACAAACTGGCTGAGTAGGCTGAGTGATCTCTTCATGATATGGCTCGCACAGATCTTCTTCTAAAGCCCATGGATCTTTCCCTCCATCACAAAACGGGTTAAAGTTAGCGGTGACATTTTTTAAGATCCCCGTGGACATTGTGGTGACATTATTGCAAACGGTATCCCATGTCATAGTCACACACATCCTGGCTTCTCCACGTTTACTGTCACAATAAAATCATACAGAAACTATTCATTATTAAGTACATGGGATATTATCACGAAAGATAGAGCAAAACTCAAATTCTTTTGGAAAAAGGGACAATTTTTGCCATGGAAACATGATCAGTGAAAACATCAGACGGTCGTGTAAATAATTAGAGCTTCATCGTAGGAATTCAGTACATGATCATGAACTCATGATGTTTAAACCTCACCTTCCATTTATCGCGAAAATACAGGCGGACGTTGTATGGTTTCCCAAGAACGAAACTCAAGTAAAACAATGAGCCCAGGGACACAGATACAGTGTTCATGGAAAAAAATGTGAGTATATTTTGACACCAGATGAAGATCACTATGTTATTATAGTGGTTCACATACTGTAAACGTATACGCGTTGAAATAAACTTAAAGTTAAGTTTTAGCTGCAAGGGGTGATCCGTGCGGACATCTACTGACAAATACTGAGATCAAATAGAAATGTGTCAACTACGGTTTTTAATTCGAAAATCCAGTTGATATAGCATTTAGTAGCTCTGAGAGAATAAAACTGGTAAAGGTAATGTAGATACCTGCACAGCGATTTGTCGCTTGGGTCCTTGAAAAACGTTTCCGCGAAGTCACGAATGCATTCGTCGACTTTGCTCTTGTGTTCGGGCGAACACAAGGACAGCGACGAAACTAGCGGTATCTCTAAGTCTCTCCCGCTGCAGTAAAGCGATTCCATTTCCTCAATGTTAGCCACTTTCAATGTTGGTTCAGTTTTCAAACATTCCTTTGATTTCTTCAAGGAGCGATAGTATAACATCCAGAATTGGAGTCTTTACCATAAAATAGGAAAACAAATGAGAGTGAGCTAGATAATTTATTAAAATCTTGCGGATAATCAAAATTATATTGTGAAATGCTGAGCATCTAGAGTTTGAAAATGGCCAGCTATCGATGAAGGAGGTTCGTGGAGGTTCAATAATCCCGATTCCCTACCCACCCACCCACCCACCCTTTTTTATGAAGAGTGAATCATTTATAGTAGATGAAGGTCAATCCAACGCCTTTTCAGGCCTTAGCGCATGATTCGATCCAGAGTATCGTACGCGATCATGTAATATCGGCATTAGATTCCAAATGCTCAAACTATCAAGCCAACAAAACACTGATAAATTGCAACCAGGGGGTCTTTTTGCCGGGCTGTAGGAGTCTGGCTTTTTATGGATGACCCTTTAATCTACCGCCGAGGACTTATTTAAAATATAATTGGAACGTAATTCGTAGGAGTTCTTTTTCACACTTTTCTAATGTTTTAGATCTTTTCCAATAATGCTTAATGCTTACCCACAATCTGAAGAAGTCCCTTCCTTCAACGCCTTGAAGAATGTTGATTCGTAGTTTCGTAAGCTGCAGTAGTAATCCATGAAAGTACAGTTTCCCACAGCTGGTAATCCAGCATCGCATGGGTAAAGACAGCCTATAATGGATAGATTTTGGCAGGAGAATGATAAATTAGAATACACTCATTCAATTCTGAAACGACAGTGCCAGTAATGTTAGCGAGCCTCTTTAGCTTTTGGATAGTACGAAATGGGTATCAAAAATACCTGCTAGCATTAAATAGACGGCAATCAACACTAACCATGAATCCTTAGTTTCTTTGGTTTACGCGCAGCTTAACCATCCTTCTTTTGACTACAAATTCAGTCCGATTTGATCCTATGAGCTCCTATAGCTTATGCACAAATACCAAGGTAACCACGTCTGATTTCGATGACACTAATTAAGAGGCGTAATCGGAATCCGCGGAATCCGCCAAATTACTAAATGGACACTATATATCTGAGGCTAATTTTCACCTGAATTCATTATCATTCATAGCAATAATATAAACTGTTTCACTTCAGGATTTCTGGCGGCGGAGGAGTTGTTTTTTTACTTATATTCTACGCAGTTGCTTGGATTCCGCCGTAGTTTCGAGAAATGAGTGCTGTCACGCGATAACATTTCCAAGATTCAACTCACCTCAGCAGATGGTAAATGTACATTATTCTCTTTTTCTACCTATTTTTCATCTTCCTTTCTCATTTAATCCCATATCACTCTATTTAGGATGGTATTTGAGCGCCTGGCAAGGTTTAAAGTGACATTTACCACGCTATCCATGGACGTATTGGCAACAGAGACGTGTTTCGCCGAAGTAGCAACATAACGGTAAACACTGCAACTTTGAACGCTTCGTACAAGGTCGATAAACTTTGGCCGAAAACTGTTTTTACAGAAACGTAATGTATATCCTTCTCCTGTCTGATTCATCACTGTGATTGCTTTCAATAGCGTTGGATTTTGCAGAAATAATTATTTTAAAATCATCTCAACGCTCCATCTAATTTGATATGTAATATTTGAACATTTATTTTTCATTCGCTTCTGCAGTTTTTCGATTTTTATCGAATGATTTTGCATTAAAAGGCCTTTTTCTTCATAAATTTGTAGTTTTCTCATTATTTTGTGTTGCGATAGTGATTTTTGAACCGGTTTTTGAAAGGGCATACTTTGGGACAGATTTTACTACAATCAGACGTAACAAGTTCGTGGCTCGATATTTTTGGTTTAAAGCGAAACTGAAGCAAAAGAAATTAATTTTTAAATAGTATTAGGTAACCTCTACTTGGAAGATAAAAATCGGCCGATTTTAATTTTTAGCTAGAAATCATCGGTCGTTTCTTAGGCGCAGGGCCTCTTAAACTTTCTTCGAAATAGGACTAAGCTGAGGCGGAAGTGGCTTTAGATTGCTTATATGTCAAACCCAAGCAAGTTAATGTCAATCCATTGCTTAAATGTTAAACCTGAGCATTAAATTAACTCTTCCAATGCCTACTGCACCTTCGCTTTTTTAAAATGCCCTGATAGGGGAAAATCGTAACAGATTGTACTCACCTAAAATAACAACAGCTGTAAATAGAAGCATTATCGGTTTCGATTTCCCAGGAAAACCTGACCAGAGAAGCAAAATATGGAGCATTGACCAACAATTTAAGAGCTTGTTGCTTCCGATTTCGGTTAACGTCTCTCCTAACCAATGGTAAGTTCCTTTTGAGAGTGCAATAATTCCGAGCACAGTAAAAAAAAACTTTCGCGAAGGAATAAAATTCCACCTACGTAGGAAAATCAACAGCGCATGGTCTAACACGCTCGCTCTGAATTGTGTGAAATTAACGCGTTATCATATTGTTTTGCATTAAAGACAGATCAGGCAGTTCACTTCCTTATTTCAAACTGTTCGTAAAATGATTTTTTCGCAAATGATTTCCGGTAGTATTCATACCAATACTTGGCATACAAACGTTTTTCTGGGTTACAAACGCATAAAAGTACGTTTTGGAACCGTTCACTTTCAGCCATGACTCGAAATTGAGATTTTGGTATTTCAATTCTTACGTGGGTATGCCATGCAGCAGATATACTTGAAACAAGGAGGTGAAGCCGAACTGGTTTAACCAAAATCAGGAGTTGTCGGCGCAGGTGGGTCATGATAAAGAAACGAACTGGATGGGCAATGACGAACAGTGTAAACATAGTCGGGAATATAATATTTCGAACAAGAAATGCTACATGACAGAAGGGTACATTCGTTATAATTTACATACTTGGAAACGCCGACACAGTAGTCAAAGCCAGAAATATGGCGCTTTTTCTCGCTCAACTTAAGAAATATTCCACTCTGCCTCACCTTTGTAAATAAATAATTAAGAAAATAACACAAATTTTTCGTTTTGATAAGGTATTACTCGATAACAGAAGAATACAGTTCATATTCTCTTGTCGATAGTCAGGTATGGTTGCTCGGGTGATCTTAAAGGTAAGGCCTATGATTGGTCGAAGATTGTGTCATTTTTCGCCAAGTAATACATCAAATCAAGAAAGGATATTATCCTCTCTTTATATAATACATTCGTTCGAACAATTTTGGGCATAATTTTCGCCTCTGGCCATAACATTGAATGATAATGAATGTATCCCTGTATGATTCCATTGTAGCTGTGATGCTGACAGAGATCCATAGACAATAGGAAAATATCAGTGTAGTCCTTACAATGACAAACCTACCCAGGCCCCTAGCAGGGCAGGAAAGAGCAGGCGTTCCCTTATTACCATGTGGCAGAAGCTTTTGCCTTTTTTGGTGACACTCTCGCTCATTTCTCCACGGCAGTAAATAAGCTTGACGCATTCACTGAAGGAGAAGTAATGAATTTCTACCTTTACTATTGAAGGTATACATGAAATCATAACATGCACCGACACGTTTTGATGTCCTAAAGAGTAACTTAGCTTGTCCAAATTGTCTTCAAATAACTCAGTAACTCTCTAGTAAGCATCAATCCTCCATTTTCTCTCAACTCTCTGCCTGAACAATTAGGGGTTGCATCATGATTAAAATGCAATCTTGACTCAAATACTGATTTTTTTTCCGATTGTTTGACCGGGGTAGCAGCTGTTTGTGACCTGCATGCTGTTCTTTTCCTTTGTGCGGTCAGTGAGCTTCTGGGTTGTTTGCAGAATAGGAATAATTCCCTCTTTTCCAGTTCTTAATGATTACAGGATCGGGCGGGTTCGTGTGTCAAATTCTAGGTTTGATATTTAAAACAAAACATCCCTGATATGAAATTAAATTAGGCACAGCTGCATGCATGTTACCTAACATTTAAGCCACACCCGTGTCGAGAGGAATTGGGAAGGCAAATTTGACCAAGAAATGTGTCCGAGGTGTAAGCAGTATCCATCATGCATGAAAAATAACATCAGATGCCCGTTGAATCATACTGGAAAACCAATTTAAAAAACTGGAAATAAACTCGAGCGAACCGGCTGTTAAGTTGAGTTAACGAGAACTTTGATGAATTCGCAATCGCCAATCCGTCTGAAGACAGAGAACACTGACCTTAGTCAAGCAAAGAATGAGAACATCTCGAAAACGCACAATTTACAAATAACAAGAGAATATCAATTATTCAATCGATAGGAGACCATCACAACGACTGCTCTGTGCGTCTTTTGTATATAAGCCTTCGTTAATCTATTCTTCTCCACAACTTTCCTGCCTACATCAGCTTCAGTCATTGATTCATCGTCTTGATAAACTTGATTATTTGTAAAAACTTGTCTGGGGCAGAAGTCAAGACACTCACTGAAATAATACTTAACGTCATCAAACTAGATCACACATCACAAGTCTGATACGCTGATTTCATAATCAGACTTAAATAATCACATTTGACTGACCACCACAATTTATTCATCATGAAAATCCCGCTACTATTAAAGATTGTTCGTCCAAATAAATCAATTTCAAAATCTAACCCAATGTTCTGATTACATTATTTAAAAGTGAGATCATGGAAAACTCGCGAAATTATGCTTTTTCTCAAACCACGCCTGCTTAAGTCTGATTAAAAAATTCCAGGGTTTGGACAATAATACTAGGTAAGTTAAACGGTTGACGAGTCGTCTGAGACGATCGATAGAGGTAAGGAGTCTGAGACGGGTGGTGCCTGGTAGAAACTCTCTCCCCTACTCAATGCTCAGGCCACTTCATGGCGGTGACAGAAGAAGGCTTCAGCTTTAGGTTATGGCCAGATAATTTGCATTTAAATTAGATGTTCGAGATAGCGTGACGGTTTCATTCATTTCTGTGCTCTCAAGATCAAGTATGTTATAGCCATCCGCTGGATTAATACTCTGATCGGTTGGCTCTATGGTAGCGTCGTATTCCCAGATCTCCTCAAGACATGGGCAGTGTCTGTATAACAGTCTCCGTGAATTTTCCTGGAATTTCTTGGTAAGCAAGCAGAAGAATATAAAATTGGCGAATCCTTGTGCACTCTCACAAATTCCCTAGAAAAAAAATATGGAAATTGGGTAATAAAGAAAGATTGTGGGTTGTCCTGGAAAAGGATTGCGACACACACACAAGCATTGGCTGGCTACTTTATTATCAGTTACGCCGTTCACATTATATTGCCACTGCTTAATTATTTTTCGAGAGAGACACATCACCGAGGCTCAATCTATTTTTGTTTTAATTCTACCTCGTTCTCTTTTACAAAGCCTTCAAAGTATCTCCTGCAGTGAGCCAAACTTTTTTTAAAAAATGGGCATACTAGATGAGGTTTTTCCTGGGCAAAAAGGCCCCGAATCTAAATCCGTTGTTAGCAACGGGTACAACTAGTTTTTGTGGTCAGCTATTTCCTTCGACCTTTCCCTTAAACTAGATACTCTCTTTTTTGTTTGTTTATATGCACGAGTCTAGGTAGTTGATATTGCACACCTACCTGCAAATAAACCAAAACTTCTTGGATGTTCAGTGTTTTTGTTGACTTTAATTCCTCCTCAGATGAAGATATATAAATACAGAAGCGAAGCATTCCACAGGACCGTAGAATTAGGAAAATAACAGGAACAAAAGTTAGCCTTTTGTCAGCTCTTTTGGCTGCATTTAGGGCATTACTTCTTATCCGATGTCTTTCGTTCCGATGCAACTGAAAACAAAGCAGTTTAAAATATATTTTTTAAACAAAAGAATACTATAAGAAAAAAATTCAACCTAGCTAAAAGAAAAGGTAATGATGTGATCGGCTTAGGTTATACCACAGAGACGAAAAACGTAGGCTTTATTGCCAGCTGCTGCTCAGGAAACTTAAACTGAGCCCGAGCATCTCCCCCCCGAAGTGTATGGGACTGTGGGGAGGGGGGAGGGAGTGGGGCCATTATAGACTGGACCCGAAAACGGCGGGAAAACCAGCCTATGAAAAACTACAGGTCCAACTTTCATCATTCTGATCAGTTGTCACCTAGGATTACGATGAATAAAGAGTCTCGCGAATAAAAGAAAACCAACGAGCGAACAGGAAGCAGAAAGTATTCTTTCAAAAGTTTGAGGCCTTTACAGTGTTTTATATCTGAAGAATTAAGTTCATTGAATATATAAATAAAATTCATAAAATAACAGATTAACGTTCCAACCATATGTTCTTCCCGTCGTTCTCTCAAAGAGAGAAAATTCTTAGTATCATCATTTCCACAAAGAAATCGTGACAGCTAGTCCTGTTAAGTTTTGAATTGCGTGACAGCTTTGACCATATCATCATTATATACATCTCAAATTTCTAAAAGGCATTCATGAGCTTTAACTCGGTGAAGTAATATATACTCAGTAGTGAGTAATTAAGATTACAAAGGTTCTTCTAAGCTTATATGAATTTATTCATTGTACATTGTGGCCTGATGAATTTCTTAGCGTGTGTAAAGATTGTAAAGATTAAAGATCATAGCGGGATACATCATGATATCAGTTAAAAATTAGAACTGTTTATAATTTAAACTGTTTTTACCTCTTCGCGAAGATGCCACTTGAGCAATCCATAGAAAATCAAAATAAGAACAAAGACCAGTATTTCCCATGCTTTGCCAGTGACAAGCATCCAGATGATATAGCTGTGATGTTGAGTGCTTTTTCCACTACCCTGTACCTTAATCCAACACCAGGCAGAACTAAAGATATCACGGTCGTTCCCCAGAACACCCTCAAACAGAGCAAAGCTGACGACAAACACTGGCACCCCCCAACCTATGCCATGATACATCCAAAACATCTTTAAGGCCGTGCTGGGTTTTTGCATAGCTATCGTCGTGTACAAAAATATAGCCATAAAAAGAGTCCAAAAGAAGGACCATAAGTTAGCGGTGGTGGATATAAAACTCTGAGTTGTACAAGCGTTGGAGTTTGTGTTTTGAGGTAGATATGCGCCAAAGATGTAACTTGCGGCCACGATACTATCAGCGATGGAGATGTAAACCAAGATTCTTCTCGAAGTCGACCTCATATCCTTCCATTCAACGTATGTAATAATTATTATTGATGCCCCAAGCAGAGATAAAAGGCAGGTAATGGTTACCAAAGCGCGGTTTAAAGTTGTGTTTCCGATGTCTCCAAAACTCAAAGTAACGGGTGGATGCGTTGTTGATGCGTTGGCAAAATTCATCTTGATAGCCCAAGTTTACACGGTCGTGATTTCTCGTCCTTTCCTCTCGGCAATCAGATTTACGGCCCTTAATTTTTAAACTCAGTTAATGTTTCATACTTTTATGTCGACTCCATCATCACAAGAAC